TTATCTTTACAATATTAATATAGACCAGTAATCTCAATATTCTCTTTTAAGTCTAATAAAACATACCTGTGGACGGCTAAAAACAAACTAATTTACTAGAGGGAGACTTTGTATAAAAGTCGATTGCTTGGGTACCTCTGTCCCATTCGTGTTTCAACTGTGAAGCAGTTGTGTTTGCATGGCTGTGTTTCGGTTTGATGGGTTTTATATGGCGTGAATTTACAGGGTACAGAGGAATAACACCCGAGTCCTCAGGAATGGCAACGCATGGGGGGTATCATGGGCGAAACAGTATACTCTGTTATGTCCATGGTACTGCTCATGTCTATAGGCGATGGTTACCACTTTCCGTCAGGTGGGCCGTCAGCTTGTTTGCCATTCTAAGTAGTATATATGTTGTTTCAACCTTCGAAAAGAAGAAGGTTCTTACTTCAGTTATATATTTATGTTTGTTAACTCATAACTCTGTCAATTGTAAACCAATTTCTAAAATTAATTTTTAACCGAAAAGACTTACAGATTGGGCCCATAGAAATTTTATCAAAAGCAAACTCAAATTCAAAACATTTTTATTCAAATTTTTAAAATCTTTATGTTTTTATAAATGCAGGGATCGAAAAATTATTATCTGCTAAGGGGAATCCGTAATAAAACTCTGCAGTTACTCTTTAAAATTTTTGTAAACAATTTTTTTTGATCATTAAAAATCTCGTGCAAAAATCGACTAACACAATGCACATTTGTCATTGGTTCAGTCAATATGAGTATTACTATGTAGTTTGAAGTTATTTTTTTTTTCTATAGAACGCAATCTTAATTCTTCTCTTCGTCATAAGAAAGATTTTTATCTGTAAAAAAAATAGCAGCTCAAATAATAATAAGTCTACTATCGAACAACGCAGCAGTAAACATAGTGTTTGGAAAAATATCAAAATGTCTTTATAATCGTCGAAAACATCGTGTGACAAAAAGAAAAATACAAGCAAATTGTGTACTTTGACTTTTGTGAATCACTTAAAAATATCATTGTCATCATATCAACTGTTAAATGCCCACTACTGAATGTAGACTTTCCCCATAAAGGTGATTTTATCAGTAGTTGCCACGCTTGGCAAACGGGTTGGCAACCGCAGTTAGGCTTCGGTGATGTTTTAATATAGACACTGCTGCTTATTCTCTTGGTCATTAAGTTCCCTTGGTCGCCTCTTACGACACCCACGAGAATCGAAGGGGTGATCTATTCGATGCCGGGACTACATAGTAAAACTGATATACTAGTCACTAAATTGAAAACGTTAAAGTATACAATAAAATACGTATAAAAAGACTCGAGCGAGGTAGCGCTGTTTCAATTACATTACTTACGATGCGGAGAGAAGACATGTCACGCCATCTGGGTTATGTTTCCTTATTCTTCTAAGTTGCGGAATGGTCGTGGGTATTGTGAATAATACATTCGAAGCTTTACTATCCGTTTGGTGTCAAAGGAAATACTTGTCTTTCTTTTTTATTTTATTTAGAAGCGTTATAAAATGGAGGTCCATCGATTACACATAGAAACAGCTTCGGCATCGCTAAAAACAGATTCTTTATAACTGTTTTCGAGACTGATTTTGGCTCGATTTTATATTAATTTTGTTCAACATTGAAGACAGTCAAGTTCGTATCTCATTTTGAACTAATTTTTAAAATGGAAAAAATAAAGTTTCATATATTTTATTTTTTATACAACTTAGAATGGCAAACAAGCTGACGGTCCATCTGATGGAAAGTGGTAACCGTCGCCTATGTACATGTGCAGTACCATGGACATAACAGAGTATACTGTTTCGCCCATGATACCCCCCATGCGTTGCCATTCCTGAGGACTCAGATGTTATTACTCTGTACCCTGTAAATTCACTGCCATATCCCACCCTTCAAACTCAAAATACTCACAGTTATGCAAACACAACTGCTTCACGGTTGAACACGAATAGAACAGAGGTACCCAAGCAAACAACTTTTGTACAAAGTCTCCCTCTGGTTATTAGATTTTGTTACATAAAATAAAACCGACTTCAATCGCGAAGCGAAGAAAGAAGAAGTTTCTTCATTCGATTGTATGTTTTTTTTTTAATTGTTTATTACCTCATTACTTTTTTAGTTGTAAAACGGTTTGAAAAAATCTTTTATTAACCGCAAGAATATAATTATAGATTGATTAAATAGAAATTTTATTAAAAGTCGTTTTATTAGTTTAGTTTTTAAGTCTAAATAGATAGATGGATAACCTTTATTACCAGTATTAAGAAAATAAAAAATTAAAACAACAAAAAAAACGCCTCATCGAAGTTACTGGTGACCCAAGAGCTGGTAGCTACTTTGCCCAAAAGATAAGTTTGGCAATCCAAAGAGGTAATGCTGCCAGTATTTTGGGTACGCTGCCTCGGTGTGGTGCGTTGGGGGATTACTTATAATTAGTATTAGTATTTAAGGAATTTTATATTAACTTTAATTTATCGTTGTATTGTTTTTATATAATAAGAGCTATTTTTAATAAATAAAATAAAAATATGTATCCATAAAAAAATAAAAAACAACAAAAAAAAAGAAAAAAACAATTAATGTTGCTGGTAATAGGAGCCGCCTCAGCTGTTGCTATATATGTACAGCTCCAGCGAGATGTACCTATATAGCGCTGGTTTTCAGGCGGCCCCTTAACTCCTTTACCTTTAGCATGCGTGCGGGTCGCCAATACCTATTTCTAACTAAATAATAATAAGAACTAAATAACTGAATTTACCTCAATTGAAGTCGATTTTTTTTTTGTGGAATACAGTCTAATCATCCTAAGGTTTAATTAAACCAAATTAAATCAATTTCAGAAGTTATTTTTTGTGTATACATCACTGCTTTGATTATACTATTTTTATTACCAGAAATTCTACATTAATCATTAATCTGTAACCGTTATTCAGTTACTAATTTACATTTCAAATGTTGCCAGTCGCACACATACCAATGGCAGTACAATTAAACAAAATAATTTTAATCAACTAACCCAGTGATATAACGTAGTGAAGGACGACCCCTACTAGATGGGGAGGAAAGGGATTGTTAGTAATGGAGACTAAGAATCCCATTGCTAACAATATACCCAACCAGGTCGACCTCGTCGCGGTTCCCCCTGGAAACTATCATGATTAATTCCTGATGAATTCATCATGATGGGCTAACTGGCCCGTTTTGATTCTCATCAATCACCCTTCACTGGTGCTCCGCCAGCGTATCCCGTTAGCGCAGGCGGGGTTGCCATTCCATTTTCACCCATCAAAAACAAAAGACCCCTACTAGATGGAGTGATGACGTAAAATGTATTGTAGGGAGGCAGGTGGCTTAGGACTGTTCCGTATAGCAGTCGAAGACGATGGCCTATGTTCAACAGTGGCTAAAATCATGATAATGAACCAGTGGATGATATAGACTTCTATAAAATAATACCAAGTTTAGTGAAATATTTAAAATTCTGATTGTAGGAAGTAGATGTAAGCATAGGTGGATCAAAACATGTGTTCACATAAATTTGGTTACTTACAAGAGCTCTCACTTTAACGTCTATCACGTTTAAAGTTTACAGAATCGTATTAATCACGTTCTTCGTAAATTAATATTGTAATTAAACCTGTCTCGTATGTATGAGATTATATTAAAATAATGGTTTTACTGCTCAGTTCAGTAGAGCGATAGTTGAATCATATTGCTTGGTTTCGATATTAAATTCTCCTTAAATGAAAAATATAGATATATAGGCATATGCTTTATACATTTTACTGTTGAACAAATAAGTTTTTTTTTACACAACTTAGAATGGCAAACAAGCTGACAGCCCATCTGATGTAAAGTGGTAACCGTCGCCTATAGACATGAGCAGTACCATGGACATAACAGAGTATACTGTTTCGCCCATGATACCCCCCATGCGTTGCCATTCCTGAGGACTCAGGTGTTATTCCTCTGTACCCAGTAAATTCACGCCATATCCCACCCTTCAAACCGAAACACAGCTATGCAAACACAACTGCTTCACGGTTGAAACACGAATAGGACAGAGGTACCAAAGCAATCGACTTTTGTACAAAGTCTCGCTCTGGTAACGTAACTAGTAAGTTAAAGGCTAATTTAAACAAAATGACTAAAAGTATAGTCATATAACATTTTATATTTTTTTTTATAAGTTTTACACAGTTGCCCTTTAGTATTTTTAATCTTTTGTAGTCTTCACTTCTTTCACTTAATATCTTAGTGTATTACTTACACTATCTTAGTGTAAAAGATCCTTATACTGTAGCCTAATAAAGTAATTAAAAGCAATTAAACGACAAATTCTGATGTCATTTTAATAATTTACATAAACTGTTAAACTTATGGAAAATGTATGTGACAATTTTGGATGTTTTAGACATAAGTATCTTGACTTAATTTTCTCTATTCTATGAAATTTTCAAATTTGTCCCTAGTAACTATTTAACATCATTAATATCATATTTTAAGAAAGTTTTCAACAACGCTTCACTAATTTGATGAAATCCAATTAAGAAAATAATAGAAAAATATTTTTATACTTCTACGTGATCCTATAAAGTTTTTTTTAATGGTTGATAATGGAATGGTAACCCCACCCGCGCTATTGGTATACACCGGCGGCGCACCAGTGAAGGATGATAGGTGAGGATGAAGCAGGCCAGTTTGCCCATCGTGACGAATTCAACAAGAATTGTTCACGATGGTTTCCAGGGGGAACCACGTGGAGGTCGACCTGACAGGATATATTGCTAGTAATGGGGCTATTTGATCCCATTACTAACAATCCCTTTCCCCCCGATCCTATAACGTTATAACTACATATATAAAAATCGAACCTACGGTACAAAGTTGTTCTTTAGAATTCTCACCAATAGCTATTGTAGCCTAACTTTAAAGAAAACTTCTAGGAACTAAAAATGTGACATTGTTAACAGGTGGTAAACAGCGGTGGTACCGCTATTATCAACTGTACATGGGGCGGCTGGCCAGCTCCGCGACTCGAGTGGCTTCACAATGGTGTCCCATTGGGAGCAGGAGTTGCTGGTGGTCGCGTCCGAGTTCAGAACAACGGGGAACAGCTCATTATCACCGCCGTCCATCGAGCAGATAAAGGAGTGTATCAGTGCATGGCTCGAAATGAAAGGGATTCGGCGCAGGCCAGTGCGGAATTGAGGCTAGGAGGTAAATCTATCTTTACTGTATCTGTTTTAAGGATTAAATTCGTTTGGCTGTTGAGAGATATTTCTCAGTACGTCCTACACGCTCTCTGTGTACTACAGAGCGAGCTATTCGTATTGCAAGAGACGCTGAGGTGAGCAAAACTAGAACCTCTACAATTACGTAAAGATGTAGCCTACCTCAGTGTCTTCTACCGCCTATTAAAGTTTTTTTTATACCACTGAGGTGGCAAACAGGCATACGGCCCACCTGATGGTAAACTTTTTAAAGAACCCCATGCTGTAATCTCTTAAACCTTGACAGGGAGCTCAGTCCATAACATGAGAGAGAAAACATCTCTGAACACCAAGTTACAAACTTTCTTGTAAAAATACACACATCTGTTACCTCTTGCACTTTCATACATACATTTACGGGTATAACGTACAAATACACATTAAAACCGGCTGCCATTTAGCACAAAGTGGTAACAGTACCAATTTGACATTTTGTACTCAAACAACGTAACTTCAAACTTTTAACTGGGTCATATGAATTATTAACAAGCACCTACTATCCGACTATAATTAAAATATGAGCGATAAATGTCACTATGAATATTAATTAGTGTTAACTAACTGCTGACGAGTAGGCACGAGTAATATAGATACCGATGCGATATATATATATTGATTTTCACTGGATATTTATTGTTGAAAAAAGGTCATCAGCCATTTCGATATCGCTCATATCTGTCGAATATCTATTTTCGAATAAACAGGCAGCGATTATATAGAAACCGATGCGATATCTATATATCGGGTTCCAATGGGCATTGATGGCGGAAAAAGGTCATCAGCCATTTCGATATCGCCCATGTCGGTTGGACATCTATTTTTGAATAAGTAAACAAGAGTTATATGGAAACCGATGCGATATCTATATATTGGGTTTCAACAGACATTGATGGTGGAAAAAGATCATCAGCCATTTCGATATCGCCCATATCGGTTGAATATCTATTTTCGAATACCTAGGCATAAGTTATATGGATACCGATGCGATATCTATATATTGGGTTTCAATAGATATTGATGGCGGAAAAAGGTCATCAGCCATTTCGATATCGCTTATATCGGTTGGATATTTATTTTCGAATATGTCAAAAATTTATTGTCCAATATTATTTTTTGAATAACAGACTTTTAAGATATTCGTTATTAGACCAGTATATATTAATTGTAACTAAAGTATATAGATATTGCTAAATATTTCTCACCCCTAGTGATGAGTGTTTAAAATAATATTACGTACAATTAAAATACAAGGAATAACAAACAAGCCGAAGGTACTGTGTAATTAAAATTTGTGCAGTGAATCGATAAATTCAATATACAAATTATAATGGCAACCTCCGTTGTGTAGTGGTAGGCATATTGCTCTGCGTAATGAGCTACCGTGTTCGATTCTCGATCGGGTCAATTTTCTAAATTGGCACGGGTCTGACTGTAGTAGGTTTTGTCCTAAGATGTTCGATATGTATATATATATATATATATATATATATATATATATATATATATATATATATATATATATATATATATATATATATATATATATATATATATATATATATATATATATACACACAGACACATCTGTCACACCTGTCTCCCATTAGGGTAGGCAGAAACAATGGAACGCCAAATGCTTCGATTCACACGAACCTCTTCCATATATATATATTTATATGTATGTGTATGTGTGTAATCTTACCTTACTAATATAATAAAATTGTAACTAAACAATGTCTGTTTGTCTTAATAAGACACATAGATGCCAAAACAATAATTTTTATAAATTTTATAAATCTATCTGTCTGTACGTGTGTTCTGATATCACACAAAAACTACTGTATCTATTAAATTGTAAGCAATTTTTACAGTTGTGTTCCTAAAGGTTAACTTAAAACTTAGTGTATATTTCATCTTGATATGCTATCTAGAGATGGCATTCCTACTTCAGAAATCCACGTAAACGAAGTACCGGGAAAAAAGTTAATTTATTATATTTACTCAACAGACACAGCGCCCGAACTACAATACACATTCATCGAGCAAGTCCTGAGACCAGGGCAGGTGGTGACGCTGAAGTGTTCCGCTGTTGGCTCGCCACCGCCACACTTCACCTGGATGTTGGACGGGCAGCCCCTTAACACCATAGCCATGGGACCTAGGTGAGTGTGATTATTTCACCTTTTTTCTAGAACAAAATAACATAAATATCTACAATTTGTATTGAATTATTTATGTAGGTACTATATATCTTAATATACTCAGATTAGCAAAAACTTAAACAATGAATTCAGACTATTATTCTGGACTGAAATCCAGTGCAAATCCTTTCCGGAAAATTACAAATTATTTTCCTGCTATTTTTTTCCTTTTTAAATAATGTAATCTATGATATTATGTCATAATATATAGAGGTAATATTTTTATAGCAAAATACTATGAAATACTTAAAAACAGCAATGTAATGTACGTAAAAAAATCTCACCGCGACGCGCGGAAACAGCTGTGTAAAGTCAACGCCACTAGGGTACAGGAACTACCTACGAAGAAGCGCCATTGACCGCGCTATGTATACAGGGCCTCAAGACAAATGGCAAACGAATTCGTCGATGGAATCGACATCGCTAGCGAATCCGTGAGATAGAATGAGAAAGCAACGACGGACGACTCATTCCAACTCACGGACTCGCTAGCGATGTCGATTCCATCGACGAATTCGCTTGTCACTTGTCTAGAGGGCCAGGTATCACGCGTCGTGTGGATCGTAAAATTTCAAATACCTGTGGTGTGCTGTGGTGCATTTCCGGTGGGAAAATAATCTATTATTTGATTCAGACTATTGTTTCGTTTTATTCAACTGCCGTTTTCCTTTTAGCCAACTTGTTCTTTCCATCCTGTTTACATATACAGGGTGGAATGAATTACTCATTGTAATACATGATAGTAGCTGGTAGATACATGTAACATGTCTAGATACAAATATAGATTTGTCTACTTAATCTTAATGTATTATTTCATATGAATATGTTCATGAATAAATGTATGACGTTCTTAAGGATAAATCATTGTAAATTGCCTTACTTATTACAGGCATTATGAATGACTTTTACTTCTTCAATAAACCGTTTTTAGAAACAATCCATTATTATAAATTTCAACCGACTTAAAAAAAAGTTTTTAAACCGGTTGTATTTTTTTTTATATTAATAAACCTATTTATAAAATTACTTTTTTATCAGAAAGGATATACTTACGTATTGGCCTCATAGAAATTTTATTAATATGAGTTAAATAATTTAGTTTTTAATTCAAAATAACTAGTTTTGCCCCAATTTAAATCAGTTTTTTTAAGACACAATCTTCAATTATTATGCCTTCTTTTTTCTTTGTTAATCCTGCAGATTTAGTGTTGAACAATTCGCGACAAAGGCGAACGACGTAATCAGCTATTTGAACATCTCAGCGGTGACGTCAGATGACGGCGGTCTCTACACGTGCAGGGCGGCCAACTCGCTTGGTGAAGTGGCACACACATCCAGGCTTAACATTTATGGTAAGCATGTTCTACGGAAGCCCATATCGCTTTACATGTACATATAGTGCAAAAAAAAAACAAACGTCCCACCACAAAAAGTTATTACAATAGTCTCACTACAATAACGTGTCTGGCATCTGTTTACGTCTAAACAAAATAAATTCTATGATATTGAAAATAAAAGCAAGAATAGAACAAAAAATATTTATTGGCCACAAAATTATTCCACAATCTTCTTCTTTCCATTTAAGAGTTTCCTCTTAAAAAATATTAAAAAAAAAAAAAAAAGTATCCTCTTGTCGGTACAACTAATTTATGCATCTTCCTCCAGCCAGCTCTATCCCAGGCTATAACCTTTATCTTCCTATACGAGATGACACCTAGTGTTTCCTTTATCTGTCCCATGTAGTTAATCCTCGGTCTTCCTCTTCCTCTTTTGCTCTCTATCTTTCCTTCTATTATGCTCTTAAAAGAATCGTCATGTCGTATAAGGTGTCGTATAATTCTACAATAAGTAACCATAATTACAAAAGAGAACCTATCTCAGCATTAAGTTGACAATCATCAGCGAGCATATAACATATATTGCAATATTATTATAGTGAATTTACAGGGTACAAAGGAATAACACCTGAGTCCTCAGGAATGGCAACGCATGGGGGGTATCATGGGCGAAACAGTATACTCTGTTATGTCCATGATACTGCTCATGTCTATAGGCGACGGTTACCACTTTACATCAGGTGGGCCCTCAGCTTGTTTGCCATTCTAAGTTGTATAAAAAAAAATACAAGATCGTATGAGTTTTACCAAAAATATTCACAAAATAGAAGAAACTTTTGTTTATACTAATTCAATATATATTTAACAACAAACAATTCCTCTTAACACAATCCGTTATACAAGCGGTAGAACATACAAAGAGATACAAAGTTTCGCTTCCTTTAGAATTAAGGTCTTGATACCGGCTTTGAATTTGGGACCATCAACAATTCTCATAGCCCATCTTTGAACTGAGTCAAGAGTAACAAGCTAGTCTCCAGGTACTCCGGCCTTGATGAGAGCAGTACTCCATGAGGGATTGGACTTGCCACTGATACAACAATAGTCTTTATTTCGTGGTGCAGTACCGTTTCGTTCAATTGAGCTTTTTGGACACCAGCTTGACCCTGTCTTCTAGATGATCTCGGAACTCTACAGTGCTACAGATCGAGACACCGAGGTTCCCAATAAATTTGGAGATGACAATTAATAAGTTCTTAAATTGCGAAGCCACGGTAAATGGAGATTTTTACGGTAAACGCGCAAACTTTTGTCTTAGATGAGTTAAACTGGACTATGTTTTGTAGTCCTCAAACTAAAGAAATATTAAGTGTACGTAAACGACTGATACTAGTATGATTTGTGGTGTTACTTCCTTTCGAAAAATGTAAGCTTCTTAATATTCTAGAGGTTTTGTGAATCATTCAATTAGAATATTTGTTGCAGGCCCACCTTACGTAAGATCATTGGCGCCCATCAGAGCAGTCGCTGGTCGCGAACTGATGCTCTACTGTCCATATTCTGGCTACCCCATTAGGTAAGATATTGAACCGTTTATCTAATTAACTTCAACGTTTGCAATTTCAATATTTAAATTAACCCCAGCCATATATTCGTATTGTAGGGCATTTCCAAATTTTTGGCACCGTCTCAGGTATTTTCTTTTTATACTACTATTAAGTATTTTCAATAGTTTATGGATGTATAATTAAATTTCTGACGATTGGAAAATAGACTGTCTTATTCTCATACTTAAACCTGAAAAACCGAGCTATTAGAGCTCATACCTAACTCATACCTTCCAATAGCTCTAACTTCATGGCAAATGTTTGAACAGCTTTTGGTAGCAAACAATTTTTAGCAAAAATAGAATTGTAACCCCGGCTATCAGTATACACTGTTAATTGGTGAAACCTTAAGCATGCTGTTTTTGGTGATGTAATTTATGAAAAACCTTTTCATTATTGCCATAATAAAAAAAAATCGGGCTAACTTGGCAAAATTAATAACTGACTAAATAATCAGTAGTTACATTCTTACTATTACATTAGAAGACTATAAAAATCTAGATATTTCATATTCATGCAAAATTATTGTTTTTATTCGCAGTTCTGTTAAGTGGCATAGAGATGGAAAACCTGTCGAATGGGATAGCAGTGTAGACGGTGCTCTCAGAGTAGCGAGGGTCGATCCTTCACACGCAGGCACCTACACCTGTCTGGTGATGGGTGCTCACGGGGAAACAGCCAGGAGGGAGCTGCAGCTAGTAGTTAGCAGTAAGTAAAATCTCGCATACATGAAGTGTTACACCTTAGCATGTCGCAGCAGCGTAAACTAGTTCATGTGCAAACAAATGTTACCATTTTTTATTTTATGAACTCATCTTCCTTTTACTATTTTTCAGTTGTATCGTCATGATCTTTCTACCCTTATCCCAATTATTATTTGCGGTCGGCATAATATGGTTTCATCCATATTACTAAAGGATTTGGCTTATAGTTTTACGACCGGCCGCCTGCCTGACGTCAAGCCTCTTTGAGAATGCTTTTGTTGGTGATTTCCGCCACCTACGGTGTTTCATTTGTATAATGCATATAAATAAAAAGAATACTAAGTTTCACATTAACTTTCAAAGTGTATTAAGTATCTCCATATCTTAGTGACATGTTTCCTTACGAACTAGACGAAGAAAATCGGCAAATCAATATTTACGTCACTATAATCGCTATTATATAAATTCATTCCACGATGTTACGATAATGAAAACTTTGTTTTAATCCACAGACCCGCCAGAAATAGAACCGTTTTCCTTCTCAGCGAATCTGCAAGAAGGAAAACGGGCTCAGGTCAGCTGCAGCGTGACATCGGGAGATATGCCGGTACACTTCACGTGGCTGAAGGACAACGCACCTATACCCACCAGTTTACAGGTAAACTTGACCAATTCTTGAGAAACATGTAGAAACAATAACATTAATAATTAAAAAAAAAAGAGTTTGTAGTGTACTTGATCAGGTAACACCAGAACTTAATGAGAGTGTATTCCTATCGTGAGCCAGAAATTCTTGTTCATTGTTTTAGGTCTGATAGGTAAAATACGTATAGCAAACTTTACTCTGCAGGAGTGGTAACATACAAAGCCTCCATTAAATATGGTACTATTCATGCTTGTAGGTGACTGTTACCATCCATCGTCCAGTAGACCGTGAGCTTGTTCGCCATTTCTAATAATATAATGCAGAATCCCTTCGTTTACTACAACTACCACAGCCTACCCTTCGGCCCATTGTCGTCGATCCAGTATACAAAATTCGACTAATTCTACCTAGGTGGAAGAACGAGCTGCTGACTTTTTCAGCAATCTCGTATTCAAAGAGGTGTCAGCCCGTCACAGCGGGCTGTACACGTGCGTGGCTTCAAATTCAGCTGCCAAAGTTAACTATACGGCCGAGTTGGTGGTGAAAGGTAACGTCGAGGTGTAGAGAATCCGCATCCAGCACCCGAGCACTGAAGCACCAGCACTCGATCGCACAGCACCAAGCCACCGCTTGTATTCAGCACCTTGTAATTATTTTCAAACGATTCTTTTGCCTGTCCCGTCCTTTAGAGTTTCACCGCTCGATAGCCTTAGAGCCTCGATGGCCATGGTTGGGTTTAACGACAAGAGGCGTGGAAAGCAGCATTGAAAACGAATATTAACGCTTAATACAACGGCTTATAGTCTCATCTCATTTGACGAAGAATTATTGACGATATTTATAAATGTATGAAGATATTTCCACCATGCTGTTCAGTTCATACATATCCATATAGTTGTATGTATTTGTAGATGCTACTTCCTACGTTGCATGCCGTCAAGCCCAAAATCGTGGCAGACTAAGCATTTACAAAACTGACAAGCGTGTAATAATTCGTTTTCTCTCTCTCTCTTTTTATAATTAATATTAATTAGAATGAAAGAGACAAAACATATTAATGTTTAAAAAGAAATTTATTAAATTTTGTTTTAATGTCATAACGTTTCATATTTTATAGTGGTCATTAAGTTTACATGAAGTAAATTAATTCATACTGCATCCATTTTTAAGTATTGGGGGCACGGTCAAAATAATAATTGTAAAAAATAAAAAAATAACTTTTACATTTTCTCGAATTTTGTTCACGCTTTATAATATCCTTTTTGGCACCACATTGCACCAGTTTTTATATATTTTCAATAAGATATTAAATTATTAATGTTTTTTTTCACATATAAAGCTTATCACCTTGTTTTATTATTAAAAATACGTCACATAAATCAAAACTAACAAGTTAAGACGTCAATGGTTCATTATATATCACAAACTAGTACTCGCTACTTCGTCCGTTGGTTTTTCAAATTATCTTTTTACCAAATTATATTTAAATAGGTTCAGAAATTTATCTGTGAAATAAATCTAACAAACAAATTAATTTTGTTTAATATTTATTATAAAGGGCAATTACTCTGTTTAATTAAAGAATTAAGTGTACTTACCAGAGGGAGACTTGGTACAAAAGTCGTTTGGTCGTACCTCTGTCCTATTCGTGTTTCTACCGTGAAGCAGTTATATTTGCATGATTAGGTTTTGGTTTGAAAGATGTGATATGACAGTGATTTTACAGGGTACAGAGGAATAACATCTGAGTACTCGGAAATTGCAAAAAATGGCGCTTATGTCCATGATACCGTTCATGTCTACAAGCGACGACTACCACTTTCAATCAGATGGACCGTCAGTTTGTTTGCCATTCTAAGTTGCATAAAAAAATTAATTTATTAAAATTTTTCAACAAATCAAGAAAAGTAGTATTTATTATTTTACACAATTATACATATTAATTTAATACAAATAATTATTTTATATGTAACACAAATAATACAATATGACTGAAATTAATTAATTATCTATCCGGTACAAATTAAACTACTTAAACAAAAATAAATACATTAATAATTAATCAACAAAATATATTAATTTTATTTAGAAAAAAGTACTATGTATTACTACTGCAACATACATAGAAAACTTCAGCATAATTATACACTAATAATATAATTTAATTTGTTTATTATAAATATATAGAGACCGTTGGTGAAAGAGATATAATTCGTTACAAATTCTTGATTGAGCTTTCGATCTCAATTTCTACAAATTAAAAAATATCACATAAGCCTATGGGGGACGAAGTGCGAGCTAGTCGTAATAAATCTATGGACCACCATGAAGGTACCTCAAAACTTTCGTACCTATATGCCAATTTAGTTTTGTTTCATTGTGCAATTTGAATCGGATGTTTTCTGTTTTGCCCAGCGTTGGATTACAGATGGCTAGTGAAATGGGTAATTTATTTACAAATTATTAAACATAATGTAATTAAAACCATCTATTGTGGTTATTGCAATAGTTAAATACAACATTTGATATATTAATTACGTTAATATATATCGTAGCGTAATAAATATTTTATTGGAAAGACAGTATTATTAAATACATGTAGAATGTGATCTAAAACATTGGGAACATGTCATTAAACTTGTAAGAAAAAGAGACAATGTTTCTGTATGAATCTATATGATTCGAAATTGGTCTATTTCTATTTAAATTTTTATATTTAGAAAAGAAATTTATTAATTACCGGTCTAACTTATATGTAATTTAGTTGAGAAAGTTCAACTAGTTTGGAGGCCATTCGGGACCCTCAGCTTTAGGCGGCTATTAGACGCACAGTAAGGCTCGCGCTCGCGTTACAGCCACTCAAGATTAACCCTCTGACTGGGTATCTCACGATTTCCGCGTGCAGTATCTACAAGTTTAAGTTTACGCATCCCGCGATTTCGACGTGCTCGCATTTTTTGCGTTTATTGGCGTTGTTATCCCGCGATTTTTGTTTTGGTAGGTTGATATTGTCTCTCAGAATCTCGCTAGATGGCTAAATACACGTACTGCTATTTGTTGTCAAAGCGATGTGTTTTATTGTTGTAAAAAAATACACGGTCAGAGGATTAAGGGTCCCGGATGGTCCTGAAACCAGTCGAGATTTCTCGATCAAACTACACGTAAGTTAAACCGGTGGATATTATATTAAACTATAATGTGTACTTATAAAACTTTTAACAATAAAATTATTAATAGTGTTTTAATGAATATGGATATACTTCCATTATTTTATCCATTTGATTGCAGCCAGGAGAGGTACAGTATAATTTTATAGTTGGTATAGAAAGTAGCTAATGATTAATGATGATAAAAACATGTTTTTCTATTCTATTAATAACTCACTCACTATCAATACAATATAACATAATATTTATATTATTATATGTATTACACCTCCCATATTTAGAACTAACAAAAAATTTTTCATCGTGCCTCCCACCAAATTGTTTATAATTACTCCTCTCCATCCAAAGGTTGCCTGGAAGAGATTGCTCTTAGCGATAAGGTCGCCCATTGTTTTTTCATTGTGATTATTTCTTGTATCTATCTATCTATATTACAGTAAGAATTTGTTTACGAATGATCGTGACCACGTAATGACTACATCTATACTTGTAATAAATCTGTAGAGAGGTCAATTCTGTACATGAAATATATTTACAAAATAACTGTCAGGGCGTGATTAGTTATCGATACTGATGCCAAAAATGCAATCAGTAAAATTTTTGTCTGTCTTTCTGTATGCTCGTCATAGAAACAAAAACTACTCGACAGATTTTAACAAAACTTGATACAATTATTCTTCATACTCCTGGGCAGGTTATAGTATACTTTTCATCACGCTACGATCAATAAGAACAGAGCAATGAAGAGAAATGTTGGGAAAACGGGAGAAGTTACTCCATTTTTAAGCTTCCGTCGCGTGTACAGCCTTAATGGCCACTTTTTAAAATGTTAAAATGTCCACTCGTGCGATGCCGGGACGGGGCGCTAGTTGTAAATAAATAAGAATGACACGTATTACAGGAAATATTTATTTGTTACACTTTAATACACTATTTGGGCGTGTGTGTGTTGGTTTACCCTTGCAGATTGGGTAATTCCATGTTTACTGGGTTTGCTATAATAACGAATTTGTTCTTGATTCGAATATAATTTTAATATGCAAGCAATGAAATATATAAATTTACAATATGTAGACAGGGAGCTCATTCCATTACCTGAGTCTTCGTGGGAGAAAGCATCTCTGAAACCGCGTTGTACGCGACCATTTAGGCTGTAAGGTATGAGAGTGAACTCCCTGTCGATGGCGAGCCGTATGATGGTAGAAAGCGACCGTGGGCATCATATTGAACAATTACTCTGAGCACAATCCGTTGTGCAAGCGGTAGAACACGCAGAGTGAGGCAAAATCTTTTGAAAGACTTAAGGGTTCGATACCGTTCGTAAGCCTGGGATCATTGACAATTCTCATAGCTCGTCGTTGCACCGAGTCGAAGAGAATGTACCTCTATTATTAAATTCTGTTGTTCCTCCAAAACAATTTTCAATGATTATACAATCGTAAACAGTATGTCGTGTTGATTAACATGCAATAGAAATATTAATAAGTCTCTGATTTTAAAACGTACGTAGGTGATTGGAAACTTTGTTGAAGTTTGATTTGACGGAAATGGAATGGTTAATATAAATAATTGTTCTAGTTTTCAAGCTGGACACACTAAGACTAAGACTGAACACGAAATACATTATATATACTACGATAATTGAAGATTATGTTTAAAAAAAACAACCTTAAATTTGACAAAATCAACAATTTTGATTTAAAAACCAAACTACAAATCCGATTGTGATAAAATTTCTATGGTACCAATCTATATACAAAATCCTTCCAACAAAAAATATTTTCCAAATATTATTAATTTAATATACGTTATAGAAATATCAAGAACATGTAATTAAAAAATTAAAAAAAAAAATATTTAAAGATAAAAAAATTCTTTGAGATCATTGCCAGCTGGTAGGGTGCCTAGGATACTTGCTGCATTTCCACGCTGAATAGCAATGGAAATCCGTTGACCAAAGTATAGGCCAGCCTTCTCCAGGTTTCCACCAGCCGGCGTGAAATCTCTCTTTTCCAAATTGGTTTACAACTGATGGAGTTATGAGATTACAAACATAAAAAAAACATACAAGCGAATTGAAAACCTTGTTTTCAAAGTCGGTTGATATAGAATAAATAACTCTATTATGTACACCGCTCTTATGGATATTAATTACAGGAAGTTTATGAATATTTCATGTAAACCTACTCCAAGTAGATATTATCCCTTAAATTCTAATATTAACTAACGCTTGGAATCTCTACAATAATTTCAAAGCCGGAACATTAAGCTAAATCATGTGCATAAATCATACTAGTGCAATGGAAACCATTGCAAAGAGTTTAATAGCTATGGTGTTTGGTAAAATGAATATTTTACAGTGGAAGTTATTCAATTTAATTCTTAATACATTATAAATCTCGCCATGTGATCTGGCATAGGGTAGACCGCTCTTTCCTTTCCTGTGTATGTCGTAAAATGAAATAAAACGAAACGTAACGAAACGAAACGAAACGAAACGAAACGAAACGAAACGAAACGAAACGAAACGAAACGAAACTAAATGAAATGAAATTTATTTGTTATAAAGCGTAAGAAGCGATTATAGGAGGGCGAGAGATAGGCAGCAGCATTCCTCTTAGAACTTCACCAAAACGTTCACTGCGGTTGCCAATCCGCCTGCCAAGCGTAGCTACTATGGGTAAACCCCCCAAGGGGGGGAGGGGGGGGGGAGGGATTGCTATTAATGGATACTGAGAATCCTATTGCTAGCAATATACCCAACCAGGTCGACCTCCTTGCGGTTCTCCCTGGAAACTATCATGGTTAATTCCTGATGAATTCATCATGATGGGCTAATTGGCCTGTTTTCATTCTCATCTATCACCCTTCACTGGTGCTCCGCCAGCGTATCCCGTTAGCGCAGGCGGAGTTACCATACCATTTTCACCCATCAAAAAAAAACCCCCAAGGGGGAGGCTTGTGTTCAACTGCGGATAGGTAAAGGCGGATATAATAATGATAATGATATTAAATTATATTACTAAGATTGTATGTAATAAAAAAATGTACTTAAACTTGTTAAATGACCAAAATTTCATACTTTACCATAATTTCGTTATTTCAATACATATAGTATTCACTTATTTAAAATTTACTGTACACTAAACGAGTTACAGATTTGGTTTAAAGTAGAAACGAGACTTAATTACGCTATACACAGTGGAAAATAAATTTTTAGTATCACTACATAGTATAAAACAAAGTAGCTGTCGCTGTCTGTCCGTCCCTATGTATGCTTAAATCTTTAAAACTACGCAACGGATTTTGAAGCGGTTTTTATAGATAGAGTGCTTCGAGAGGAAGGTTTATATGTATAATACATGCATAATATTGTGAATGTGAATCTGTTTTCCGCGCTTAGCCTCTCATTTGGGCCGTTGTGCGTATGAGTCGTGGCTAGTACAGCCAACCTAGCTCCGCCCAGAAGCGCAGAAGCTTCCTAGGTTTTTCACAGGTCTCACGGAGCGACCTCACCGTTTCGAGGATTTCTAAACGTTGATGGGCCACAGCCTCACATTCCAAGATTACGTGAGCAGCCGTTTCTTCGGCGTCGAAACAGCCTCGACATAGAGGGCTGTCTGTGGCTTCTATTGTGTATAAATGATGCGTAATATTGTAGAGAAACACTGATAATTTTAGAGGTTTCTTATGTGATGTAATGTGCACCCGTGCGAAACCGGGGCAGGTCACTAGTTTTATAATAAAATATACAACTGGGATAAACTCGAATTCTGTCCTATAGTTAAGGATTGTCTAAACTAAACCACACATATATACACATTTATACTACATACACATACATATATTTATACACACATATGTATATTTACATGTATATATGTATTTGAATTTTAATTTGTTATTTTTATAAATAATGATTACAACACTTAGACACCGGTATTAAATTAAAATCCTTTTCCCACACGCTGCAGTTTCACCAAAATGGGTGGTGGAACCAAAGGACGAAGCGGTGCTGGCTGGAGAGCCCCTGGCGCTACACTGCCAGACCACTGGCTCACCACCACCGCAGATCACGTGGTTGAAACAAAGAGGTTAGTGCTTCAATTACTAGCTATTGTTTTTTTTTAAACGGTTTTATTTAGCTCGACCTGTACGGTATTTATTTATGTCTAAATTAGAAATTGGAATTTAAGCACCTTCCCGTTGTCAGATTGATCTGAAATTTGGTACACACATTTAATTTAGATGACAATACAATATAATAAAATCAATAACATTATAAATCTAAGATGGCCGCCGATACAAAATGGCGGATTACATATTTTTCCTTAACCCCCGCAATATGGGTATCAAATGAAAGGGCTACACTAGTAAAACACGATGATTATGTCAAAATTTAAAATTCAAGATGAACGCCGTTCCAATATGGCGGACTAGGTACATATTTCTCCACAACCACCACAATATGGGTATCAAATAATAGGACTACACTGAGACACCCAGACACTAGACACTCGGACACTAGACACTCAGACGCTAGACCCTTAGACACTAGACACTCAGACACTCAGACCCTAGACACACAGACACTAGACACTCGGATACAAGACACTCAGACACTAGACACTCGGACACTAGACACTCAGACACTAGACACTCGACACTCGACACTCGACACTCAGACACTAAACACCAGACACAAGACACTCAGACACTCGACACTCAGACACTAGACACTAGACACTAGACACTCAGACACTCGACACTCGACACTCGACACTCGACACTCGACACTCGACACTCGACACTCGACACTCAGATACTAAACACTAGACACTAGACACTCAGACATCCAGACACTAGACTCAGACACTGGACACTCGGATACAAGACACTCAGACACTAGACTCTCAGACACTTGACACTCAGACACCCAGACACTAGACATTCTGACACTCGACACTCGACACTCAGACACTAAACACCAGACACTAGACACTCAGACACTCGACACTCAACGTCACTCGACACTCGACACTCGACACTCGACACTCGACACTCGACACTCGACACTCGACACTCGACACTCGACACCCGACACTTGACACTCGACACTCAGACACTAAACACTAGACACTAGACACTAGACACTCAGACACTCGACACTCAGACACTAGACACTCGACACTCGACACTCGACACTCGACACTCAAATACTAAACACTAGACACTAGAGACTCTGACACTCGGATATAAGACACTCAGACACTAGACTCTCAGACACTTGACACTCAGACACCCAGACACTAGACACTCAGACACTAGACACTCGAACTCGACACTCGACACTTGACACTCGACACTCGACACTCGACACTCGACACTCGACACTCGACACTCGACACTTAGACACTAGACACTCAGACACTAGACACTCGGATACAAGACACTCAGACACTAGACTCTCAGACACTTGACACTCAGACACCCAGACGTTAGACACTCAAACACTAGACACTCGACACTCGACACTCGACACTTGACACTCGACACTCGACACTCGACACTCGACACTTAGACACCAGACACTCAGACACCCAGACACTAGACACTCAGACACTAGACCCTCGGATACAAGACACTCAGACACTAGACTCTCAGACACTTGACACTCAGACACCCAGACACTAGACACTCGACACTCGATACTCGACACTCGACACTCGACACTTGACACTCGACACTCGACACTCGACACTCGACACTCAGACACTCAGACACTAGACACTCAGACACTCGACACTAGACACTCAGACACTCAGACACTCAGACACTAGACACTCAGACACTAGACACTCAGACACTAGACACTAGACACTCGACACTCGACACTCGACACTCGACACTCGACAGTCGACACTCGACACTCAGACACTAAACACTAGACACTAGACACTAGACACTCAGACACTCGACACTCAGACACTAGACACTCGACACTCGACACTCGACACTCAGATACTAAACACTAGACACTAGACACTCAGACACTGGACACTCGGATACAAGACACTCAGACACTAGACTCTCAGACACTTGACACTCAGACACCTTTTTGGCCTCAGTTCCGTCGAACCCAAATGTACGAAACAGATATATCATCAGTTTTAATTCACTTTGGCACAGACGGCATGCACGTTATTTACCCTAAAGCCATACAGTTTCCAGCAAAATTCAATTATGGTACGGCTGAAAAAAGGATGTTGCCCTTAGTTTTGTCATGAGCATTCACCGTCCATAAAATTCAGGGCAGCACCGTCGACCATGCAGTAGTATATTTGGGCTCAAAATGGTTTGAGGAAGCATACGTGGCTCTAAGTTGAGTCAAGTCTCTGGAAGGGCTATGTATTGAGGAATTAGATTGTACTAATTTATCAGGTAAGAAACCATGTAATAATGATGCACTGAATGAATTAAATAAAATGAGGAATATTCGGTAAACAATTTCACTAAATACTAAAAACAAGAAAATAAAAATCGGTAAAAAAACTTTTAAGTTAAACGGTTTTATGTGCACTGAAAACTACAAAATAAATAAATAGTTACTTACCTATCAACCTACGTAGGTGATCTCGGTCATTAATATCTCTGATGGTAGTGGTTGTCATAACATGAACCATGTCAGCGGCCGAAAGGCAGTTCATGAGAGAACACTAACACCAGGGTTTGCTTGGTAGGTAAACTAAGCAGCCCGCACTATAACAAGTAGGTATTTTGACCTTCTAGTTCAGAAATATTTTAGTACTAGGCAGAATAGCTTTTAGGCATATTAGACTAAAATAAAAACGTGGGCCCCTCTGAAATCATACCTATAGCAGAGTATATCTTATACTTTGCTAGATCATGAGCTCGGCGTTCGCTGGTGAAGCCGTAACGGCTGGTTATTGATGGTCAAAACCTCCAGTTACGATTATAGTAAATCGATTCAGCGGACCCTGGACTCCGGAGCTATGAGGTTTCGGATGCGACCGGGATAAACCGCTAGGATGATGATGATGACGATTATAATAAGTCGATGCAATCCACACTTAGTATAGTAGAAAGTAATACAGAAATAGTTAATGGGCCCCACGTTTTTATTTTAGTCTAATATGCCTAAAAGCTATTCTGCCTAGTACTAAAATATTTCTGAACTAGAAGGTCAAAATACCTACTTGTTATAGTGCGGGCTGCTTAGTTTACCTACCAAGCAAACCCTGGTGTTAGTGTTCTCTCATGAACTGCCTTTCGGCCGCTGACATGGTTCATGTTATGACAACCACTACCATCAGAGATATTAATGACCGAGATCACCTACGTAGGTTGATAGGTAAGTAACTATTTATTTATTTTGTAGTTTTCAGTGCACATAAAATAAAACCGTTTAACTTAAAAGTTTTTTTACCGATTTTTATTTTTAATTTAAAATGTCAAAAGAATTACAAATATGAACAGTACCATGGATATAACAGAATATACTGTAATATTCATGCTACCTTTATACATTCTCATTTTTGAAGACATATTGGTCTTATATACCCTATTAATTGCAAAAAGAATCGTCAAAATCGATTCAAATTTAGCGACGTAATCGCCATAACTACAAAAATATATACAAACTAAATTTCTCCATTTTTTTTTATTTTTATTCAATTCACATCCCACCCTTCAAACCGAAACACAGCAATGCAAACACAACTGCTTCACGGTTGAAACACGAATGGGACAGAGGTACGCAAGCAATCGATTTTTCTGCAAAGTCTCCCTCTGGTAAAATTTATTTAAGTGATGGTTTTAAAAATCTACATAATTATTGTCCATAACCAAAATCCTGAACTCTTTATTGACTTTTAAACTTCGGTTTCTTGCAGGGTCATCATCTACAGATTCCATCCCTCTGATCAACCTCGGTGGTCGCTTCCAGCAGCTGCCCAACGGGACGCTATGGATCGAATCAGCGCTGCCGTATGATGAGGGCCACTACACATGCAAGTCTGAGAACGGGGTTGCCCCGACGCTCTCTAAGAGTATAGCAGTGGCTGTAAATGGTAAATTTAGTTTTGAAACTTAAAGTTATCTGAACTACAGCGCAACTTTTATCCTGAAGGTGGTAACCCTTAATCTCTTTCATTCTCTTAGGATTCACATGACGTGAATTTACTGGATACAGAGGAATAACATCTGAGTCCTCAGGAATGGTAACGCATGGGGGGTATCATGGGCGAAACAGTATACTCTTTTATGTCCATGCTACTGCTCATGTCTATAGGCGACGGTTACCACTTTCCATCAGGTGGGCCGTCAGCTTGTTTGCCATTATAAGTTGTATAACAAAAAAACATATTACAGTAGTGGGCAGGAGCGCCACAGTACCAACTCCTTCCGTTAGACCGCATTCAAAGTCGAGCGGCTCGAATTATCGATAGTCAACGCCTTACTGTCCGACTTGACCCATTGAAACTGCGCAGAGATGTTGCGTCTCTGTGCATCTTCTACCGAATTTATCATGGGGAGTGTTCTGAGGAATTGTTCGGATTGATACCTGCTGCTGATTTTCACCACCGTACAACCCGCCACAAACTAAAGTTTCATCCCAATCATCTGGACGAGTGGCGGTCTTCCACCGTGCATTTTTCAAGGCACTTTCTTCCACGCACAACCATTCTTTGGAATCAACTTCCAGCAGCAGTATTTCCGAACCGATACGACAACATAACCTTCAAGAAAAGAGTATATTCCTTTTTAAAAGGCCGGCAGCACACCTGCAATGCCGCTGGTGTTGTGGGTGATCATGGGCGGCGGTAGTCACTTACCATCAGGTGAGCCGCATGCTCGTTTGCCCCCTGTGTTGTAAAAAAAAAAAAAAAAAAAAAAGTAATTGTTTTGGCCTTTAAACGAGTTTTCTGCTTGTTCGCCATTTGAATTGCCACCAAATTGTCTGTGATTACATTCATAATCATCGTCATCATATCAGCCTTTAATTGTCCACTGCTAAACACAAGCCCCCCTTGGGAGGTTTTGCCAGTAGTTGCCATGCTTGGCAAGCGGGTTGGCAACCGCAATTAGGCTTTAAAGATGTTTTAAGAGAGACGCTGCTGCCCATCCTTGGCTCTCCCTTAGTAATTATTACTATTGACATACTGTACCAATGTTTTAGTGAAAGATGATGACATGGTAACGATGATGAGCCTCGTCTGCATTATCGGTATATATTGGGAGGGAAAGGAAGGAAGGAGTAAGGGATGTTCAATGAGCATGCAACTGTAAAAGTTTCTTTAATGGATGAAAATAAAATTGTGACCCCATCTGCGCTTTCGGCATATACTGGCAGCGCGTAGTAAAAGATGTTAGATGAGAATGAAGGTTAGTTGGTCCATCATGATGAATCATTAATAATTAACCACGAAGGTTTCCAGGGAGAACGGTGTAGAAGTTAACCTAATAGGGTTTGAGAGGGGGGATTTTAATAATGCGGACTACCAATTCCAATGCTAGTAATATATCCTATCAGGTCGACCTCCATATGGTCCCCCCTGGAAACCATCGTGTTAAATTCCAAGTGTATTCATCACGATGGGACTAACCTGCGTTTTCATTCTCGCCTATCATCCCTCACTGGTGCCAGCGTATACCTTTAGCGCAGGCGCGGTTACCATTTCATTATTATCCATTCAAAAAAACCAGTTAGACCCCATTTCTAATAATCCTTTTTCCCCCGCTGTAACAGTATTGGCAGCTCAGTAAACGGTAGCTCAGTTATAGTACCACTTGGCTAACAATTCTAAAAGTCAATTCCAAACACGGGGAACTTAATAAGCAGATCATGACTTATAAGTACAGGTACGTAAACTTAGTTACTAAAACTCTGAAGAAGAAAACAGATACGCCCTGAGAGCTTGTTACAAACTTTTAAAAACTTGACCAGTTTAGGTCACTTAACTGCAAACTGGCCTCTTTTATCTACGATTTTTGTACCTTTTCACGGGTCAACTCAATGTAATCTGTAAAACTATCAGGTTTTGAGCATTCATAATAAAATGCACACTATGCTGTGTAGTCCCGCCATAGAAAGGACCACTCTTCTTTTCCCGTGGGTGTCTTAAGAGGCAACTAAGCGAACTTAATGGTAGAGAGATAGGCAACAGCGTCCTTCTTAAAACATCACCAAAAGCCTAATTTCAATTACTATGCGATTGCATGGCTGTATTTCGGTTTGAAAGGTGGGATTTAGCAATGAATTTACAGGGTACAGAGGAATATCACCTGAGTCCTCAGGAATGGCAATGCATGGGGGGGTATCATGGGCGAAACAGTATACTCTGTTATGACCATGGCACTGCTCATGTCTATAGGCGACGGTTACCATCAAGTGCTTGTTTCTCTCAGCTTGTTTACCATTCTAAGATGCTTAAAAAATACCAAACTGCCTGCCATGCGTGGCAACTACTGGTAAAACCCTCCATATGGGTGAGGCCTATGTTCAGCAATGGGCAGTTAACAGCTGATATGAATATGATGAAAAGCTACGGTTTTGATAACTATCCGCTGCTGAAGCCCCTTGATTAGATTGGCAACCTTCAGGTCAGGCTTTAGAGATGTTTTAAGAGGGACTCTGCTGTCCATCTCTCGTCCGCCCTTATTCGACTTTTACGATATTTTATATTCCATATATGACTGTTATTTTGTCCTTCTGATGCCAATGTCCAGAGCCGGCCCGGTTCGAATTGACGTCGCACAATATGACGGCGCGGAGGGGCGCGGCCGCCACGCTCGCCTGTGACGTCCGCGGGGACAGCCCTATACGGGTTACGTGGGCGCACAACATGAACCACCTAGATCTTAATACTTATAGGTAAATAATAATATTAACACCTAGGAACTTATTACAAGATCAAGACTAGTCATCCGTCCCAGTTTCGCACGGATAGTTAGAATGAAAAATTCGTACTTTATATTTGCTTTAAGAAGCAAATCTTTGTTACTTTAGGTTATATTATTAAAATTTACTGCAACCAAATGGAGACTTTCTCCCTACAATACTAAATTATATAAATAGTAAATTATAAAAGACTTACAAAAGTCGTTTGCTTGGGCAACTCTGTCCTATTTGTGTTTCAACCATGAAGCAGTCGTGTTTGCATGGCTGTGTTTCGGTTTGAAGGGTGGGATATGGCAGTGAATTTACAGGGTACAGAGGAATAACACCTGAGTTCTCAGGAATGGCAACGCATGGGGGGTATCATTGGCGAAATAGTATACTCTGTTATGTTCATAGTACTGCTCATGTCTATAGGCGACGGTTACCACTCTTCATCAGGTGGGCCGTCAGCTTGTTTGCCATACTAAGTTGCATAAAAAAAAATTCGTAGAGATCTCTATTTTTATTTAAAAATATTAAATAATATTTAACTTATATTACTCACTGATAATGTAGCGTTTTATAGGTGAAAAAAAATAAAATGAGTTAAGTAGTTTTTTCCTTTTATCATCTTCAAACAAACAAACATAGAAAAAATCAAATCTTTCTCTCTCTATTTAAAAATCAATCTCCTTAACATTAGTATATGCTAGCGGCTTCGAACGGATGGAAGGTATAAAAGACATTCCTAAGCTATGCAAGATACACAATTTTAAAATAAGACTTATTCAAATAATAAACATCTTTAAAACTCTCTTCTTCTCTTTTCATTAAAGAGTTCCATCTTGTCAGGGCAACTAATTCATGCATTTTCTTCCAGCCAGCTATACTCATATCTTTGACCTCCCTATACAACATGACACCTAGTGTTTCTTTTATTTGTCCTATGTAGTTATTCCTCGGTCTTCGTCTCCCTCTTTTGCCCTCTATTTTTCCTTCTACTGTACTCTTTAAAAAATCATCATGTCGTATAAGGTGGTCCAGCATTTTGCCTCTTCTATTCTCTATTGTTTTTATTAATGTTCTTTTCTCATTCACCCTTTTCAAGACCTTAAAACTAACTCATAAAATTAGATATTTGTTAAAAATATTTTTTTTTAACTATTTCAGGTTAAGTATATCCGAAGCAAAGACTGATAGTGGTTTAAGGTCCCAATTATATATAAGCAGAGCAGACAGGGAAGACTCGGGTGTATACAAGTGCCAAGCAGTTAACGCCTACGGTCATAGTGACCATTACATTTATCTTTCCGTCCAAGGTTTGCTGTTTTTTTTTTATAGGTACATCTTCTTCAATACTTAAATGTTCAGATATTGAATTACACTAGTCGACCGACTTCATAAAAGACATATGTAAATTAGGCTTGGATTTTTTAATAAAATCTCTGTATATCTTTTATTAGAAATCGACTAATAAACTGATTAATAAATACTTATTATTGTTGACAAAAAACTTAGTTCAAATTTTAAAATGAATGCTGGCAATGGTGATGAAGTTAAAGTACACGAAATCTGTAAACCCTTGGCACACAATTTTCTCTTAATCTTCTGACTTAAATACATATAAAACAACTCTTGTGTTTTATAAAACTTCAGAAAAGCCCGATACGCCCCACTCGCTATCTGTAACCGAGATCCTAAGTCGAGCGGTGCGGTTATCCTGGAGTCAGGGGTTCGATGGCAACTCGCCGCTGGTGGGCTACACGCTGCAGTACTGCGTGCTTAGCGCGCAAGGCGCCATCCGAGTCAATCAGTGGGACACCGCAACCAGTCTCAATGTCTCCGTCCATGGCACTCCGCATACCACTGTCATGTAAGTGGAAGACTTTGTTGATCTACTCTTGTGAGGGAGTCGCTCTTCAGTGTCAAGAGTTCCAAGGCCACCTCCGTTATATTCGAAAGTCTCTGACTAGATTCATCGGATGAAGACTTTACTCTCTGAAGATAATCATTTTCAATCATCAATTGGTCTATGGAACCAATTTGAAATATTTTAATATATGACACCCAGATTCACTTACATGTATTTTAATCGAGAATACTTAACTAGTTTCGGGATCATTCGGGACCCTTAGTTATGAACGGCTATGATACGAGCACGATGACTAAAGGTCCCGAATAATTCCCAAAAACTAGTCGAGCATTCTCGAATAAAATACACGTAAGGTATCTGGGCGTCATGTCATCATATCATCAATCATACATGAAACTTGTAATCAAGATTCTGATGCCAAATCTTATACAGCACCAAATGATAACCCTGGTATTGGTCGACTACTGCGGTTTTGATGATTGTATCACTTCACTAGTTGACATTTTTATTCCACGGTGCTAATAAAGCGTCGCTTAAATTAATACATATTTTTTTATACCACTGAGGCGGCAAACTAGTAGACGACCCACCTTATAGTAAACAATACTAAGTAAACAATGCCTGCAATACCAGGGGCTTTACGCGTGCGTTGCTGACACTGCAGAAATCTTTACCCTTTTTTGAAGAACCCCATGCTGTAGTCTCAACAGGGAACTCATTCCATAATGTAGGTGGAAACGCCTCTGAAATCGGGCTATGCACAACTATTTAGTCTCTAAGGTATGGGGTAAACATATCTGTCAATAGCGAGCTGTACGATTATAGAAAGTGGCCGTGGGCATGATATTGAATAATTTCTCCGAGCACAGTTCGTTGTACAGGCGCTAGAACACGCAGAGTGAGGCAAAATGTCTCCTAAGACTTAAGGGTGCGATACCGCTAGTAATCCTAGGATCATCGATATACTGAGGCCTTAACCTTTTATATTACTTTTATCATTAGATCAAGCCTCAATTTCCCAGAAATTTAATTAACAAAGCAATCCTTTTAATCATTTATAAATATAAAATAAATAATTTGTACTTTATTATATTTCAGATTGACAAAAAAAGGTGACATCCATTACGAAGCGTTGCTGAACACTCTGAAGCCTCACACAGCGTATATGATTCGCATCGCTGCCATCAACCAAATAGATAGGAGTGCCTTCACTGAACCCGTTGTGGTTAAAACACAAGAAGAAGGTACGTGGCATTTCGTTTTAGGCACACAATGATAAATTTTTTAGATCTTGTATGATCCCTTATAAGAGATATCTGGATCTATACTAATAATCGTAAAGAGGAATAATTTCGTTTATATACGCCAATTTTAGATTGTTTTTATGCAACTTAGAATGGCAAACAAGCTGACGGTCCACCTGATGGAAAGTGGTAACCGTCGCCTGTACATGAGCAGTACCATGGACATAACAGAGTATACTGTTTCGCCCATGATACCCCCCATGCGTTGCCATTCCTGAGGACTTAAGTGTTATTACTCTGTACCCTGTAAATTCACTGCCATATCCCACCCTTCAAACCGAAACACAACAATACAAACACTAATGCTTCACGGTTGAAACACGAATGAGATAGAGGTACCCAAGCAAACGACTTTTGTACAAAGTCTCCCTCTCGGCTTTAGTCTCAAACAGTACGTCTGTGACTATGACAGAAGCTGTTTAGTGGTAACGTACCGAAAATTTTTAATTTACCTTACAGCACCGTCAGAAGCTCCCACGAACGTGCAAGTGACAGCAGGCGGAGCAGGCGAGCTGCACGTGTCGTGGCGACCGCCGCCCCGGGACGCCTGGCACGGGGAACTGCTCGGCTACTCTGTCACATGCACTGAACTGAACCCACCTGGTGCACCTCACAGGAACGTCACTAGGTATGATAATTGCCATTTCTTACACTGACTTCTTCAAATAGCAAAGAAATTAATAACCCAATTGTTTGAAAGTAACCTTTGATGTCACCATGTGGTCTTGGTATAGAATAGGCCACACTTTCCTTTCCCGTGCGTATTATAAGAGGCGACTAAGAGAACTTAATGATAAAGAGATAAGCAGTAACGTTTTTCTTAAAACATCACCAAAAGCTTAACTACGATTGCTAATCCGCCTGCCGAATAAATACTGGCAAAACTCCCCTTATGAAGAAGGCTTACGTCAAACAATGAATAGTTAGGCTGATAGGAACCTTTTTTGTATTCATGCCGTAGATACTCCTCATGCGTCATATTGTCTTAAAGCATTTTACATTTATAAGTAAGTAATAGATAGATAATTAACGTTCTCTGACAGAAGAGACATACCTGTTAGTTCTTACAGTGAAAATCACAAGGCCAATAGTGATAGGCAAAAATAGTGATTTTTAGACTGAATCACATACGACGTACGTATTGCTATCTTCCTCTATCTCTGTGGTACGAAAGCAAGTCGTCTAAAGTCTACCATCGTCTGGCTCTAACAATATGATTTTCTTCAGAACTTTAACAGTAAACGGGTGGTCGGCAACCGAGCTCAACTTATCAGCCCTAAGGAAGTTTACTCGATACGAGGTGCGTGTGAGAGCGTTCAACGGAGTCGCAGCCGGACCGGCCTCCGCGCCTGTGTCAGCCACCACTTTAGAAGGAGGTAAGAAAGGAATATCAATAGCAAAATAATAGATTTAAAAGGAACGTAATTTTAACGTCCCATAAATAACTCCGCTTTTGCTAACGGTATACGCTGGCAGAGCTCCAGTAAGGGATGATTGGTGAGAATGAAAGTCAAGTCAAGACAAGTCTGCTACCCCATCGTGATGAGTACACCTGGAATTCAACACAATTGTTACCAGGGGTGACCAGACAGGGTATATTGCTAGCAATGGTACCAGTAGTTCTATTCCGCATTACTAACAGAACCTTCTTCCCGGGGACATAGAATTAAACTGGCAACAAACCCTTCAATCCATCTAATAGTAAGCCACCATATAAATTACAAACATTTAGAACATCAAAAATACTACTTTGTTGCAGTATCCGGCCGTTCATTTACCTTCCTCATGCTCCTCAAATATTGCGTCTAAATTCCGCCCACCATGTGCCCTCTTATATAGTCATTCCGTCACTCGTATCCAGTAGCGAGAACAGGATGCCCTAAATACTGTACCGCAAACCATAAAAAAAAATATCTCTCGCATGTAGATATTAAATTACAATAGTCCTATAACTTCATTTTATATAAAAATGTTATATTTGGAATAACCCAAAATGGAGCACAACATGCAAGAAAAATGCTTGGTAGCAATATTAGGCAAACAATTTCATTCAAAGTCTCTCTTTTAAGAATAGTAATAACTACCTTCAGATGTCCTGTTCCAATTTTTAAGAAACGATATATCAAAACTTGACGCTTTGCTGAATTATTTCAGTTCCCGAGTCACACCCGATGACAGTATCCTGCTTTCCTCTCTCATCTTCGAGTATGAAAGTGACTTGGAACCCACCCCCGATTGGTCAGCATGGTGGTCTTATACAGGGATACAAAGTGATCTATTCTCCTTTTACTTCAGACCAAGGTAAGTGAAGAAAATCATACTTATTCCATAACTTTCAATTCTTTTGTAAGGAATAGAGTGGTCTTTTAGTTAACGATCCAATCGATATTGATATCAGAAGTCCAATATTGCCTATCTTCCATGATGTAATAATTTCTTGTCAGGTGCTTTGATTACTCTAAATTAATCCATATAAATTGTAGATTAAGAAAATATAATTAAAAAAGACTATTATTACCTTTACATTATATAAAACAGAATCTTTATGAGAAGGTACGATAAACAATTCATAATCATAAAACATTTTCGTTGCCTAAACTACCTTCACATTACTTGGCGTTGGTGTTACAAAATAGATACATTTCATTTCATTTTGTACTGTCTATTTTGATGTAAGAAACTAACATTGCTGGGTGGCTATTGTCATTTATTTGTTTCACAGAATAACTAGTGTACTTTCTTTATTTTTCTGGTCTGATCTTAAGATTTAATATGCTCTAGTTGTTAAGCCATTACATTGTGTAAGATCTATGTGTATACTTGAATCGTGCTATATGTATCGAATCAGAATAAATAAATATATATATATATATATATATATATATATATATATATATATATATATATATATATATATATATATCAAAAATTGTAGTTATAATATTTCTAACTCCCTTATTATTGCAAATGCCTTTAATATTCCATTCACCTGACAGACAAGTATAAACTTAAACCCTATCATATTCAGAGCATTTTTTTCAAAAAATTAAGAATTTGAGAGAGATATAGATCACGTAATTAAAGTCTTGTCTGTATTGTTTATGTTTTAACATCAATTTGCAACGACGCTCAATTTAATTAAAAAAAAAAAAAAAAAAACTATGATATTTTAAGCTTTCATACTAAATCCCCACATCTAAGTTTGGATTTGAGTGATCATGCTCTGGAAAATGTATATAGTTATGTTCACCACAGTGCAATAAAGAAAATTAATCCCTCTTCCTTTAACTCTACTATTACAGCAGATGTGGGGGAGATCAAACGAGTCACAACGACTGACACTTACCTACACACCCTGAGGAAGTATACCAATTATTCCATCCAAGTACTAGCGTTCACCAACGCCGGAGACGGCAAGAGAAGTCCTCCAGTTTTCTGCATGACAGAGGAAGATGGTAAACTTTAAATATTTTTCTATAAAGGGTCTAATATTACTAGAAAACAGACATTTATTTATTATATGGATTTTAAAAAGTTATAATAAATATTGAAGGACCACTAACTAACTATACTCGCACTTAAAATGTCTTCATTTCAAAAATATTACGTTTAATTTAGTTATAATGATTTTCATTTTGCGGTTAGCGATGTCACTAGTCGTATGGTCCCGGCATAGAATGGACCACCCCTTCCTTTCCTATGGGTGTCGTAAGAGGCGATTAAAGAAAACTAATGATAAATGGATGGGCAGTAGCAGCCGTCTTAAAACATCCCTAAAAGCCTAACTACAGTTGCCAGGGAAGAAAAGGATTGTTAGTAATGGGATTTAACTGATCCATTGCTAGCAATACACCCTATCAGGTCGACCTCCACGCGGTTCCCCCTGGAAACCATCGTGGTTAATTCTAATGGAATTCGTCACGGTGGGCTAACTGGCCTGTTTTCATCCTCACCTATCATCCCTCACTGGTACTCCGCCGGTATATATCGATAGCGCGGGCGGGGTTACCATTCCATTATCATCCATTAAAAAAAAACTACAGTTCCCAACCTTCCAACCAAGTGTGGCAACTACTGGCAAAACTCCCCTTATAGGAAAGGTTTATGTTCAGCAGTAGACAGTTAACGCCTGAAATGATAATGCCACTTTGTCGAGCATATTTTTTATACAACTTTGGTCACTCACACATTTAAAAATATTACCCGAAATACCAACATTCCACGAATTAACTTAAAATCAAAGTTACTAACTTAATTTTTCTTCCTTACAGTACCATCAGCTCCCGAGAAAATCAAAGCATTAGCGTACTCCAGTGATACGGTATTAGTTAGCTGGCTCCCTCCAGTACACCCTAATGGGATCATAACCCATTACACTGTATACTACAGAGAAGCGGGAAGGTTAGTACTTAATTATATTTGTTATAATAATATTATTTTTAAAAATTATCGCTCTATTATAACATGCAGCTAGTAAAAGCTATATTGAGACTTTGTACAAAAGTCGTTTTCTTGGGTACCTTTGTCCTATGTGTTTCTACCGTGAAGTAGTTGTGTTTACATGGCTGTGATTCGGTTTGAAGGGTGAGGTAAATTCACTGCCAGTGATATTACAGGGTATAGAGGAATAACAACGTCCTCAGGAATGGCAACGCATCATGGGTATCATGGGTGAAACAGTATACTCAGTTATGTCCATGGTACTGCTCATGTCTATAGGCGACGGTTACCACTTTCCATCCGGTGGGTCGTCAGCTTATTTGCCATTGCTAGTTGCATATAAAAAAATACAACGGCATCAGTAAGGGATGATAGGTGAGATAAAAAGGCAAGTCAGTTAGCCCATCGTGATAAATACCATAGAATTCAGAACGATAGTTTTTAGGATGAACCAAACGGAGGTCGATCTGACAATTACCTGACGACCTGGTATATTGAAAATGGTAGTCCTCATTACTAACAATCCCTTCCCCCTAATATTTTAGGTTAGGTAAACACTCGAGTTTCACGGTAACAGCAGACAAGAAGGCCGATATAGAACTTATGTTTCAAGTTAGAAACCTAATGGAGACACAGCTCTATGAGTTCTGGGTGTCAGCCACCACCGGCTCGGGGGAAGGCGAGTCCACGCTTGTCGTGGGGCAAGGACCTGCTTCAAGGAGTAAGTAAAACGAAAAGAGGCACAAAATGGAATATGTTTTTAAAATTTTTTTATTTCGAATATATTTCTGATTAGTTTATTAGAATTATTTTGTTTAATTCCGCTACCATTAGTAGCGTGCGACTGGCAACACTTGAAGATTGACTACTAATACTATTACCAGAAATTCTACAATCTCCCATATTAGCCATCAAACTCCCGAATAAATAAATAATATATGGTAGACAAGCTGATAAGTTATTTAGTAGAAAATTATAATCGTTGCTTATATAGACTTATAGATATTATAGATCGAGCACAGAGTTTCAAAAACGTGGTCATTTGGTTAATTTGGCATTTGGCTAATTCAATTTAACACATTTTTTTGTTAAGAATGGTAAGCAAACTGATTGTCCTGCTGTTTTTTTTTTAATGGATGATAATGGAATGGTAACCTCATCTGCGCTATCGGTATACACTGACGGGGCACCAGTGAAGAATGATAGGTGAGGATGAAGTAGGTCAGTTGGCCCATCGTGTCGAATTCAACAAGAATTGTTCACGATGGTTTCCAGGGGGAACCACGTGGAGGTCGACCTAATAAGATATATTGCTAGCAATGCGGCTGTCAAACTCCATTGCTAACAATCCTTTCCCCTACACTGTCCACTTGTTAGAAAGTGGTAATCGTATCTCATATGTACGAGGAGGCCGGTGGCATGTGGCATGTGGCATAGTGACGATGGTGCGCGTTGCAGTCCCGGCGCGGATCGCGTCGTTCGGGCGCGCGGTGCGCGTGGCGCGCGGGCGCGGCGCGCTGCTGCGCTGCTCGTGCGTGGGCGCGCCGCCGCCGCGCTCGCGCTGGGCGCACGCGCGCGCGCCAGTCACGCACCACGCCTACTACCAGGTCACGCACGCCGGACACCTGCGCCTGCGCGGTCAGTCACGCGTGCCCCCCGCCCCCGCACATCACACGCACACGCCACACATCACACGCACACGCCACACGCACACGCCACACATCACACGCACACGCCACACTACGCCGTTGAGTTCACGTGTCGATCCAAGGAGCGTTTGTCTCTATTAAATAACTCTTTTTAACATGTACATTTTACTTAACAATAAATAATACACATACAATGAGATGTTTCGAACTTTACATTCAAATAAATAAGAGTGTTAGTAAAACGCAATAACCGCGTATTTATATGTGGACTTTACAATTGTGATTTAGATTTTAAATGGGCTACCCTTTCCTTACCCGTGGATGTCATGAAAAGCGATTAAGGAATCCTAATTAATCGAAGGATAGGCAGCAGCTCCCTCCCTCCTTAAATATCCGTCCTCCGTCTGACTAACGTAGCAAATAGTGGAACCCCCCCCCCCTCCAATAAAGGAAAGCCTATGTTCAGCAGTGGACAATTGGTGGCTGACATGATAATGATATTGAACCTATTCTTTGTCCTACACATACATACATATACACAATATTTTCAGTCTTCACAAAATTAATAATAATGATACTCTTTATTGCGCTTAAAAAAATGTACACAAGGAGTGTATGTAGGAATGTATACAGAATTTATTTATTTATTATTATTTCTCACCGCAAATATCTATAACTTGCAAAACATTTTAACAACATTATTAGAATATGTATATACAAAAGGCAGCCTTATCGCTAAAAGCAATCTCTTACAAGCAAACCTGAATTTATACAAAACCAATACGAAACGAACCTTTACAATTGCGAAAAGAATTATGAAAATCGACACGACAATCGTCGAATATAATCGTAAGAAAAAGAACTGAAACTCAACTACACTAATTCAATGACTAAGACAAAAATTTTGTGTAATTTTAAATTACTATTAAATTTCAATTTATACTAATTAAAAATTAATCAACACTAACTTTTGAAAACCATTATTCACCGACGACCATAATGCATTTCTATTGTTAAACTTTAAGATGGCATTCCTCTCGATTTAAAGACCGAAACATAACAATGCACTTATTGTATTTCACTCCATGTCAACATTTTGTCTTTGAACTGTTTGATGTGAGTTGCATTTCTAAAAACTTATCATAGACGCTTAAAACCTTACAGTTTTACACATTAAATAAATAAATAACTGCAAACTGACAAACAATACGGACCAGTTTCTATCGATGTCACCAAAATCAGTTAAATTTTTAAAATTTATATGCCCTCAGTTACTTAGTCTTGAAGATTACAAAGTTGTACACTTGAACCAAATACTTGGATGTAGTATTGTGACAAAGTAGGACTTAATTCACAGAAGTGAACGAACAATCTTCGGGTAACTTCACATGTACCGCCAGCAACACCATCGGCGAGGACTCGATAGTGTATGTGGTGTCAGCGGTACTGCCACCAGGCGCGCCCACTCTTTCCCTGCAGTACACCACTGCTTCCAGTATCAAACTCCATTGGCAACTGCCTGGGGATACCACCGATCCTATATTAGGTAAGAATGTACAGATGTAAGTGCTCCTTACGTTCAAATATCGAACTAATAAATATTCTCAGATAATTGCAGCAATTGGCGCTTGGTATATACCTACATTTTGTCGTGTGATCCCGGCATAGAATAGGTGGCTAATTCCATCCATTTTTTTCCCGTAGGTGTCATAGGAGGCAACTAAACTAAAGGGGTTTAATGGTTAAAGAATGGTCAGCAGGGTTCCTCCAAACACAAAACATCACCAAAACACAACTGCAGTTGCCAACTCGCCTGTCAAACTATTGGCAAACCCCCCTTATGGAGGAGACCTATGTTCAGCAGTGGACAGTCAATGGCTGATATACACTTTGATAATTATCTTTTGGGCTAAAGAATTATTCAATATTCCTTTCTTCCTTGAGTCACTCTATAAGGGAAGCATTATATTAAAATGGTTATTAATAATTTAATTTCAGGCTACATCCTCCAACACAAACAAGGTTCTGAAACTGATTGGCATACCGTAGAGTTATCTCCAGATGTTACTTCTTACATTATGGACATGCTTAAGTGCGGCACCACATACAACGCAAAGATTCAGGCGAGAAATAAAGTCTCTATAGGCCCTCCTTCTGAAGTACTGACTGCAACCACTAGAGGTGGACGTGAGTATACCAACCAAATCTTTACCACTACTCGTATAGTGCGGCTTCAGAGAAATTTTCTCCCACGAACGCTCAGGCTGTGGAATGAACTCTCTCCGACTCTGAAACTCCGAGGTTTTCCATAGAGACTACAGTATGGAGCTCTTCAAAAAGGGTATATTAAGGTTTCTTCAGGGTCGGCAATGCGCTCGTAATACCACTAGTATTGCAGACGTCCATAGACTACAGTGATCGTTTACCATCAGACGGGTTGTAAGCTTGTTTGCCATTTTAGTAGTATAAGGTGTTGTGATCGTGGGCGGCGGTAGTCACTTACCATCAAGTGAGCCGCATGCTCGTTTGCCCCCTGCTTTGTAAAAAATAAAAAACAATGTAACAATGAGCTTGTTTATTACCTCTTAGCGTCTTAATAGCTCAACTCACATCAGTGAAAAAGAATCAAGCTTTCTGACCAGTAGTGATGGAAGATCTTTTCCGTATGCTGGTCTTTGTTACCAGCAGTGGATGATAATGAATTGATATGATATATCATATAGTAAGTACACGGTTTACAATTGTACCAATCATAGCTAAACAAACATGACAATATTTATGACGATTGGTCGAGCCATTGAAATACTAAGAGGTAACAAATAAATAAATATGGAATTAAGTGTCATTTTATAGAAGTTTACATTCTAATATCTTATCGCCTAATCAAGTAAATAAGTACCTATAAAAATGAAAGTACAGAGATCTTCCCTGATTGTTATTTCAGGACCAAAGCCTCCCAAGCCAGAAGATCATGTACATATGAACTCAACAGCGATAAAAATAAACTTCTACGCGTGGCGAGACGGCGGCTGCCCTATACTGGGGTTCAGGGTTTCGTACAGAAGAGCAGGCACCGAACATTGGATCAAGGTTGGAATTATTTTGCTGTTTCCATTCTCTGAATTATTAATTAGAATATTCATTACATGAATACTCTAATTCTGTAGATTGTCATTGCAGGTGGGTGACGGGTTGAGTACAGCCAGCCACGTGGTAGGGGATCTGACCCCAGCCACATGGTACGAGCTTGCCGTCGAAGCGTACAGTGACGCAGGCGTCGAACGTGTCACTTTACGAGTGGATACACACACGCTTGCTGGAGGTAATTCCAAATATTTACGTAAGGTACATTGCTTAGTGCACTTAATGCAGAGTTACATTGATTTTTATTACTGTTTGCTAGTTTTTTGGCGTTGAAATTGGCTCATTTAATGGGCTAAATTATAAATATTAAAAACATGATATACAAATTATAAATTTATATTGCCTTTCTTCTGAGTTTACAATACCATAATAAAATTTCATTGTATATTGTTACTAGTGATATATTTAGTTTTAGGTAACTCTCCGGAATAGATAGTGTTTTCTTGTCTTAATAAGTCATACAAAACATTCCATTAAGAACACTTCTTTAAGACCGTCACAATCTTCGTTATTTATAAACGAATATTATGTTGTTACTATGAGAAAGACAATTACAAAGTTGTATGTACTCCTAACCAGTCCATCTATAAGGTGACTATAGAACTAGTCACCTTATAGATGGATTAAAAATTTAACTTACTGAGTCAGGAGATCCGGTATTATGGCATAATTAAGATTTTTGGAGAAAATAAATAAATAAAAAAATCTAATACATAATAATCTCTAATACTTTAAAAGTATTAGATTAAACGATATGTATGCTACGAACCTTCAATTCTGAAAAGAGGCTTTATTCTCGAGTTTTACTGCTAGTTTAAGCAAATCGAGTTCTCGGGACTCATTCGATTCGGTACACATTTTTTTTATATAACTTAGAATGGCAAACAAGCTGACGGCCCACCTGATGGAAAGTGGTAATCGTCACTTATAGACATGAGCAGTATCATGAACATAACAGAGTATACTGTTTCGCCCATGATATGCGTTGCCATTCCTGAGGACTCAGGTGTTATTTCTTTGTACCCTATAAATTCACTCCATAACCCACCCTTCAAACTGAAACACAGCCATGCAAACACTACTGGTTTACGGTTAAAAAAAGAATGGGACAGGGGTACCCAAGCAAACGACTTTGTTCAAAGTCTCCCTCTCACACATACCTCCAATTACTGCACAATTGACCAATAACAACATATAAGTTTTGTTTACGGAAATAGTTAACAAAGATAGTTGTGCCGGCAGGGCGCATCCCGCCGGCAGCAGTAGGCGCGGGCGCGGGTGGCGGCGGCGCGTGGCCGGGCGCGGGTGCGGCGCGCGGCGCTTCCCTGCGCGCCGTGCTGGTGTCGTGCGGCGCGGCCGCCGCGCTCGTGCTGGCCGCGCTCACCGCGCTGCTGTGCCTGCTGCACACCAAGCGCAAGTACGTACACTGCACTCCGACACACGATGTCCCTGCGCGCCGTGCTGGTGTCGTGCGGCGCGGCCGCCGCGCTCGTGCTGGCCGCGCTCACCGCGCTGCTGTGCCTGCTGCACACCAAGCGCAAGTACGTACACTGCACTCCGACACACGATGTCCCTGCGCGCCGTGCTGGTGTCGTGCGGCGCGGCCGCCGCGCTCGTGCTGGCCGCGCTCACCGCGCTGCTGTGCCTGCTGCACACCAAGCGCAAGTACGTACACTGCACTCCGACACACGATGTCCCTGCGCGCCGTGCTGGTGTCGTGCGGCGCGGCCGCCGCGCTCGTGCTGGCCGCGCTCACCGCGCTGCTGTGCCTGCTGCACACCAAGCGCAAGTACGTACACTGCACTCCGACACACGATGTCCCTGCGCGCCGTGCTGGTGTCGTGCGGCGCGGCCGCCGCGCTCGTGCTGGCCGCGCTCACCGCGCTGCTGTGCCTGCTGCACACCAAGCGCAAGTACGTACACTGCACTCCGACACACGATGTCCCTGCGCGCCGTGCTGGTGTCGTGCGGCGCGGCCGCCGCGCTCGTGCTGGCCGCGCTCACCGCGCTGCTGTGCCTGCTGCACACCAAGCGCAAGTACGTACACTGCACTCCGACACACGATGTCCCTGCGCGCCGTGCTGGTGTCGTGCGGCGCGGCCGCCGCGCTCGTGCTGGCCGCGCTCACCGCGCTGCTGTGCCTGCTGCACACCAAGCGCAAGTACGTACACTGCACTCCGACACACGATGTCCCTGCGCGCCGTGCTGGTGTCGTGCGGCGCGGCCGCCGCGCTCGTGCTGGCCGCGCTCACCGCGCTGCTGTGCCTGCTGCACACCAAGCGCAAGTACGTACACTGCACTCCGACACACGATGTCCCTGCGCGCCGTGCTGGTGTCGTGCGGCGCGGCCGCCGCGCTCGTGCTGGCCGCGCTCACCGCGCTGCTGTGCCTGCTGCACACCAAGCGCAAGTACGTACACTGCACTCCGACACACGATGTCCCTGCGCGCCGTGCTGGTGTCGTGCGGCGCGGCCGCCGCGCTCGTGCTGGCCGCGCTCACCGCGCTGCTGTGCCTGCTGCACACCAAGCGCAAGTACGTACACTGCACTCCGACACACGATGTCCCTGCGCGCCGTGCTGGTGTCGTGCGGCGCGGCCGCCGCGCTCGTGCTGGCCGCGCTCACCGCGCTGCTGTGCCTGCTGCACACCAAGCGCAAGTACGTACACTGCACTCCGACACACGATGTCCCTGCGCGCCGTGCTGGTGTCGTGCGGCGCGGCCGCCGCGCTCGTGCTGGCCGCGCTCACCGCGCTGCTGTGCCTGCTGCACACCAAGCGCAAGTACGTACACTGCACTCCGACACACGATGTCCCTGCGCGCCGTGCTGGTGTCGTGCGGCGCGGCCGCCGCGCTCGTGCTGGCCGCGCTCACCGCGCTGCTGTGCCTGCTGCACACCAAGCGCAAGTACGTACACTGCACTCCGACACACGATGTCCCTGCGCGCCGTGCTGGTGTCGTGCGGCGCGGCCGCCGCGCTCGTGCTGGCCGCGCTCACCGCGCTGCTGTGCCTGCTGCACACCAAGCGCAAGTACGTACACTGCACTCCGACACACGATGTCCCTGCGCGCCGTGCTGGTGTCGTGCGGCGCGGCCGCCGCGCTCGTGCTGGCCGCGCTCACCGCGCTGCTGTGCCTGCTGCACACCAAGCGCAAGTACGTACACTGCACTCCGACACACGATGTCCCTGCGCGCCGTGCTGGTGTCGTGCGGCGCGGCCGCCGCGCTCGTGCTGGCCGCGCTCACCGCGCTGCTGTGCCTGCTGCACACCAAGCGCAAGTACGTACACTGCACTCCGACACACGATGTCCCTGCGCGCCGTGCTGGTGTCGTGCGGCGCGGCCGCCGCGCTCGTGCTGGCCGCGCTCACCGCGCTGCTGTGCCTGCTGCACACCAAGCGCAAGTACGTACACTGCACTCCGACACACGATGTCCCTGCGCGCCGTGCTGGTGTCGTGCGGCGCGGCCGCCGCGCTCGTGCTGGCCGCGCTCACCGCGCTGCTGTGCCTGCTGCACACCAAGCGCAAGTACGTACACTGCACTCCGACACACGATGTCCCTGCGCGCCGTGCTGGTGTCGTGCGGCGCGGCCGCCGCGCTCGTGCTGGCCGCGCTCACCGCGCTGCTGTGCCTGCTGCACACCAAGCGCAAGTACGTACACTGCACTCCGACACACGATGTCCCTGCGCGCCGTGCTGGTGTCGTGCGGCGCGGCCGCCGCGCTCGTGCTGGCCGCGCTCACCGCGCTGCTGTGCCTGCTGCACACCAAGCGCAAGTACGTACACTGCACTCCGACACACGATGTCCCTGCGCGCCGTGCTGGTGTCGTGCGGCGCGGCCGCCGCGCTCGTGCTGGCCGCGCTCACCGCGCTGCTGTGCCTGCTGCACACCAAGCGCAAGTACGTACACTGCACTCCGACACACGATGTCCCTGCGCGCCGTGCTGGTGTCGTGCGGCGCGGCCGCCGCGCTCGTGCTGGCCGCGCTCACCGCGCTGCTGTGCCTGCTGCACACCAAGCGCAAGTACGTACACTGCACTCCGACACACGATGTCCCTGCGCGCCGTGCTGGTGTCGTGCGGCGCGGCCGCCGCGCTCGTGCTGGCCGCGCTCACCGCGCTGCTGTGCCTGCTGCACACCAAGCGCAAGTACGTACACTGCACTCCGACACACGATGTCCCTGCGCGCCGTGCTGGTGTCGTGCGGCGCGGCCGCCGCGCTCGTGCTGGCCGCGCTCACCGCGCTGCTGTGCCTGCTGCACACCAAGCGCAAGTACGTACACTGCACTCCGACACACGATGTCCCTGCGCGCCGTGCTGGTGTCGTGCGGCGCGGCCGCCGCGCTCGTGCTGGCCGCGCTCACCGCGCTGCTGTGCCTGCTGCACACCAAGCGCAAGTACGTACACTGCACTCCGACACACGATGTCCCTGCGCGCCGTGCTGGTGTCGTGCTGGCGCGCTCACCGCGCTGCTGTGCCTGCTGCACACCAAGCGCAAGTACGCCTGCGACACACTCACCGCGCTGCTGTGCCTGCTGCACACCAAGCGCAAGTACGTACACTGCACTCCGACACACGATGTCCCTGCGCGCCGTGCTGGTGTCGTGCGGCGCGGCCGCCGCGCTCGTGCTGGCCGCGCTCACCGCGCTGCTGTGCCTGCTGCACACCAAGCGCAAGTACGTACACTGCACTCCGACACACGATGTCCCTGCGCGCCGTGCTGGTGTCGTGCGGCGCGGCCGCCGCGCTCGTGCTGGCCGCGCTCACCGCGCTGCTGTGCCTGCTGCACACCAAGCGCAAGTACGTACACTGCACTCCGACACACGATGTCCCTGCGCGCCGTGCTGGTGTCGTGCGGCGCGGCCGCCGCGCTCGTGCTGGCCGCGCTCACCGCGCTGCTGTGCCTGCTGCACACCAAGCGCAAGTACGTACACTGCACTCCGACACACGATGTCCCTGCGCGCCGTGCTGGTGTCGTGCGGCGCGGCCGCCGCGCTCGTGCTGGCCGCGCTCACCGCGCTGCTGTGCCTGCTGCACACCAAGCGCAAGTACGTACACTGCACTCCGACACACGATGTCCCTGCGCGCCGTGCTGGTGTCGTGCGGCGCGGCCGCCGCGCTCGTGCTGGCCGCGCTCACCGCGCTGCTGTGCCTGCTGCACACCAAGCGCAAGTACGTACACTGCACTCCGACACACGATGTCCCTGCGCACCGTGCTGGTGTCGTGCGGCGCGGTGGCACTCAATCCCCAGTGGCCTGTTTTTTCGTCGTAGAAACGCTTTCAAAATTTTGCCCAGCAACACCAATCTTCGAAAATTATATTTTAGTTTTTTTTTTTTTAATTATGTATATTATTCATTTCAGATTTTTATGTGTCTCAAGTGACCACTACATGCGGGACGATAGAAAGTTAAGTGAGAGCAACGAGGCGGAACGAGAGAAACTTAGAGAAGGACAGAAACTGTATTCGTCTTCGTCGATCAATGGAAACGAAAAGTCAAATGATGACTCTTCAGGTAATCACGCTCACGTAGTAAAATAGTGTTCGGTTAAATTTTAATGACTAATTTAACCTATGCATCGCATACATGCATACATGTAAATATGCATGCATCTATTTAAATATGATATTTAAACACATGCGTTAAACCCTGAGGAGTGGGTACAGTGTTATGCCTCTATTCCCTATAATTACATTGCTACGTCCAACCTTTTAAACCGAAACAGCCGTGCAAGCACACCTGTGGTTTGGAATAAAAACATGCGAAGGACAGGTACGCATGCAAACGAATTTTATACAAAGTCTTGGTACTCGTATAGGTATAGAGTATATAATGAGGCGTACTTGTCGTACAGCGGAACTGTACGAGATTAGTCCGTACGCGACGTTCGGCGTGTCGGCGGCGCACTCGCTGCAGTTCCGCACGCTGGCGCGCCGCGACGACGACGCCGCGCCGCCGCACCGCCGCCGCCACCGCGCCTGCGACCACTACCGATACGGTACGCACCTTGCACCCTTCCCGTGCGTATCCAACGCATTACGTACACCACTAGCGCCAAAGAGAAAGAGTTTCTTAGCTTTGGTTTGACAGCCCTATTGCTAGCAATATACCCTATCAAGTCGACCTCCACGTGAATGGGGTAACTGACTTATTTTATCCTCACCGATCGTCACTCACTGGTGATTCACTGGTGGTGGTAGCCCTGCCAGGATATACCGATAGCACAGGCGGAGTTAACATTCCATTATTGCCTAAAAAAAACCACTAGCGCCACTGTTCAATCATAAAACATTATTATAAAAATAAATGCGTTGAATAGAAGTATCAACAAAGTGACACCATCTACTTTTGTGAAAATGTCTTGTATATGTTTATTTAACCATATTACCGAAATTCGCTATGGTCCGGATAACTACAGCTCCATTTTATTAGAAATAAATTATTTTATAATTTCTTTTTACAAGTTTTTATTTAACCTATTAATAATGTTTATTAATAAGTTTAGGTTAAATTTTGTAAACTCATTTAAAAACCAGTTCGTGCTTTGCCGAAATTTAGCATAGCAACTGTACATAGTTGTTATGACCATACAATGTGAAATACGCAATATTGTAATTTGTGATATTTACAAAATGGCCGCGACGCCATCACAAAATGGCGTAAAAATATTTTGTTAACCTTTAAAGCTAATATGGGTATGTACTAAGTGAAAAAGCTTGAAAATTAGGTAACGATAAAATAAATACCATCATTTTAAAATGGCCTAAAGCTTAGAATGACAGATTACATTACAAAAGCTATTTTTAAACTATAGCCTATGAATGCGTTTTTCACCATACGTATTTCATAATAGAGTTACAAGTATTAATATTTTCATTGATATTTTATTAATTAATGTTTGTATAATTTAGAAATTATAATTAATTAAAATTACATTACACTAAAGACCGTAAACTATGGATATGGGTGGTATTACCTGAAATAGAAAGATTAAAATAACAGGCTTTAAAATAAAGCAATTATTACTATCAGACAGTGATATGAGACACGAAGTAAGTAGTGGAGTATAGTGCGAGCGCGTCACTATGTCCGATCGAGTGTGTGTTGCGCAGATGAATCGAGCCTGTCTAAATCCTCGACAGTGGAGGCGCGGCACCGCATGCGCGCCGCGTGCGCGGCCGCCGGCGGCTGGCGGGACGCGCACACCGACTCCGACGACAACAGCGACAGTGCTGCCAACACCACCACTAAAGGTTACCCACTTCATTGAAGCTTTACCCTTACACCAGGACTTAATATCCCTCGATTTGGAAAATACTGTTAGTAATGCGGTCTAACATCTCCATTGCTAGGGGAGAAAGGATTGTTAGTAATGGGGAGGTTAGTCCCCATTTCTATCAATATACTCTATCAGGTCGACCTCCACGCGGTTCCCCCTGGAAACCATCGTGACAAATTTATCGTTGAATTCGTCACGATGGGCGAACTGACCTGCTTTTTCATCAATCATCCCTTACTGGTATCCCGCCAGTGTATACCGACAGCACAGGCGGGGTTACCATTCCATTAACATTCATTAAAAAAAACCCTATTGCTTGCTAGCAATGGGACTTTTTTTTAATGAATGTTATATATATTGCCATATATCCTATCAGACCGACCTCCAGGCGGATCCCTCCGGAAACCATCTTAATTCTTGTTAAATTCGTCACAATCCACCTATCATTGCTCGCTTGTGACCCACTAGCGTATACCCATAACACAGGAAGGGTACTAAATACTTAGACATTTACAATTAACAAGATCAAATATAAGTATTAAAAAAAAGGGGGTAGTAAGTAATGGGATCTAAGTTATTACGGCCCCATTGCTATCAATACACCAGTTAGTTTCCCGTACACGTGATTCCATTGCCTTAACTCGTGGTAAATTCTTCACGAGGAGTCAACTGGCGTAATTTCATCCTCAACTATCATCCTTTACCAGTGCACCGCCGCCATATTACATCAATATGGCGGCGTTATAATTTTATTCATTAAATGAAGTACATCATCTAGAGCCGATTCTGAGACACTATTTCTCTAAATTTATTTCTTGCTCTTAACTTAATATTTTAATTTGATAATTTCACAAAATTGATGTTTTAGGGAACATCATAAAGTAAATTTCTAATAAGGTTTACTTAATAAGATTAGAAATTAAATTTATACTGATCCTTAAAGATTTTGATGTCATATCAAATTGAAATTTTAATTTTAGAGTTAGGAGAAAGATTTAGAGATATACCGCCTCAGAACTAACCACGATGTTTTCAGTATAATCTACGGCTTTCAATATTTTTATTCAATCTCCATCCCGGCTCCTTCGTTTCCGCCAAATACATCTCTATATTACAAGTATTTGTGATTTTCACATACATTCTGATGGTAACGATTATCATGACATCTAAAGAAACAAAATCTTCTTTGCATAGTACTTATTTCTATATTTATTTTCATTCATACTGTATGATTATGCAATTACTGTATTCAAATTTTAGCGCGAAAATCCTTGACATATATGTCACTATAAATGACATTTCGTTCGGCTTGAATCGTCGAGCTGTCATATTTAATAATCGTGTTGTTACTTCGACTAATATAATCTATTGATTAAATTATCGATATAAAAATAAAATATAATGATGTATGACAAAACATCAGGAAATAATGTCACTTTTACATTTTTAACATGAACTACAATTATTATTCATCAGATAATACATAGTTATTTTTGTTACAACAAAATTATACTCATTTTGTACATATTTTTATAAAATAATTTCATTAAAATAAATTTAATATTATATTACTATTAAGTTTGGCAGGCAAACAATTTCTGTATAAAGTGTTCATCTAATTATTTGTTAATTATTATTGTAAACAATTAAAATATTATGACAGGTTCAGGTGGATCGCCGTGTGGTAGTACGTACGGCAGCGGGCGACGTAGCGCGCGCACCACCAGCAGGTAGAACTCAGGTACCTCCCCCGCTCACTCCGCTTCCACGCACCTCCGCGACACTAGTCTAGCTTCTTATTTATTCGTTCAGTTAAACTCTGTATAAGTGAAAATAAATCTGTCTGTATCTATATACTAGACAAAAGACCAGACATTGAATATTATCTTGCGCTGCCAAGTGCAAGTGGTAACGAAAATATATCAGTAGTATTGTATGATGGCTATCCAGTACTATGTAGTATAGATTGAGTGAAAACTTATCAATTACGTCTTTAAAAGAGAGACTATATAATTAAACTATTCCATAATTATTATTTATTATTTAAAAAATTTAATCTTAAAAGAAAACGTTAAAAGTAATTGTATAATTTATTTTTATGAAAATTGACCAAATGTTGTTTTTAATCTTGTATAAAAAGTAATGATTAAAGAAGTTGTATTAATTATATATTTGTTTAAAATAAATTTAAACAAATATAATATTTTTTTATTAATCATAATATTTAATGAATTGCATTTATTATTTATAAATTTTGTAATAAAGTACCCAATGATAAAAAAAAAATTTACACGTAGTTATTAAAAATTCTTTTAAAATGTTGTGTAAGTGAATAAGTATCCAAAATCACAAGGCTTGAAACAAATCACGCTAGCCAAGCTTCGCCACCCGCTAAGTATTAATTATATTAGACAATTAAAATTTGAATTTAGTAATAACCAATAAGATGTAATCTTCTGTTCACAGTGGTGGCCTAAACGGGAGTGATGGACTCTCGGGAACCTTTGGGCCTGTTCCAGCAGATATATCTTCTTTAATTGATAAGTAAGTAAGACAATGGGTAAATAAATACTAGCTTATTGACCGTGTGATCCAGATATAGAATGGGTCTCCCCTTCCATTCCCGTGGGTGTCGTAAGAGGTGACTAGAGGAATTTAATGATCGAGGGATGGACAGCAGTGTTACTCTTAAAAATCACCAAAAACTAACTGTGATTGCCAACCTGCCTACCAAATGTAGCAACTACTGCCAAAACCCCTCATATGGGGGAGGCCTATGTTCAGCAATGGATAGTTAACGGCTTATATGATGATGATAAATAAAATTAATATAATTTTCCAATAAATAATAAAAAGAAAAATTTTGATAAATACCACTAGAGAAGTTACATAACAAAATCTAGTGCCCAATTAAACAAAAGTGTATGTGTACTAGACATCTATAAGAACCAATTAAATACTTTTTTTCTAAATACATACATACATATTATACACAGTAAATATCCAGAGTATTACAAATATACTCGTAAATACTTGAAAAATACAAATGTGTGTAGGGGTTCATACTATACTAATACTAATAAAAAGTAGATATTTGCTTGTTAATTACTTTATAGTTAATAAAGCCAAAGATTATTAAAACAATTTTAAAAATTATTTCATCTATAGAAAGGTATATTTTAAGTGACTAACATAGCATATATATTATTATCGAATATTTTATCTCACCATACGAAGCCAGATCGGATAACCAGTAATATGAAAATTCATTCATAGTTTTTAAACTTATAAACAAATATTATTTTATTTTCCAGATACCAACAGCGTAAAGAACAAGAACGTCGGGAATGTACTATTCACGTGTAACATCCCATGGTCCATTGTAAATCAATCTTTTATTTTAATCCAAATAAAGCTAATGCGTTGCCCAAAGAATTTCTACTATTTAACTTTCTATAAAATCATCCCTCCATTTCATATATTTCTTAAAATAATGCCAGGCCATAATTGTATAATAAAATCGGGCTTAAATCGTTGTGTGATCAAGTCACAACATGTGACACCCCAATTATTTAATGTTATAAAAAAAAATATTGTTATGTAAATTATATAATGTGATTTATCTGAATACTGTTGATATGAACAGTTTAGATTTTTAAAATTGCAGATTATTTGAATTTGTAAATAAATAGTTTTAATGTATAGTTATTTACTAATAAGATATTTAATTGCTGTGAGACTGTTATTTAACGATGTAAAGTTTTATTACAAAAGGACTATGCTCACTATAATCGAAATATATTTTTAAATGTATAAATCGACATAGTTGACTCCATGATTTTATAATAGTAATTATAATATTAACACAGTGCGGTTTCAGAGGAGCTTCCTCCCGCGAACACTCAGGTCGTAGAATAATTTTCCTGTCAAGATTTTCCCAAGAGACTAGAGGCAACTTCAAAAAGGGTGTAATAAGGTTTCTTAAGAGTTGGCAACGCGCGCGTGATGCCTCTGGTGTTTTAGGCATCTATAGGCTACTGTAACACCGTTTACCATCACACAGACCATATGCTTGTTTACCACCATTGTAGTATATAAATTTATATTATTATTATATTATGAACATAAGCTTCACTCATAAGAGGGGTTAAGAATACAATAATTCCTATTTCTATATAATCTCTTTATTTAACCAATTGATGTCTATTACTTTTAAATTCTGAAAAAACAGTACTGAAGGCTTACCATGAAATGTTTTCCGAAATTTCGGAGCCAAACGAAACACAAATTTGATGTTAAAATTTGATAATACAATCCGTTTGGAAATATTAAAAATGTTAAAAAATTGTTCCTTTGGACCTTTATGATAGGATGTATGACGAACGAAATGTTAAACTCCATTTATTGATCCGATTTTGGTATAAACAAAAACACGAAATTGAGTCCGAAATTTCGGAATTTCATTTCATGGTAGACCCGCTGTTTAAATTGGACTAATTAATACCTATACAATTATATAATTTTTAATATTAGAAAATAGAATGAATTAGAAAGAAAAATTTGTTTAGCCATTTTAATGTAATCACATAATAGGAAAACATTGTGTATTATAATTTTTATTATTATACATTTCGTAGAAGTAATAATCTTACAGCAAGTTACCATGATATTAAATGTGCATCTGGTATCAACAGTAACTGTTAAATTACCCCAAAAGATGAATTATGTTCAGATAATATTCAGATGCATATTTCATAAGAAATAATTAAGTTAAATGTAATTTAAGTCTAGATCTAAGTAAGGTTAAATGCCTGTTCCAAACCGCAAAAGATACATATCATTAAAATAGACTGCCAATATTTAAGTGATTCGTAATTCTTTTTACTGTATTGTTGATTATTATAGTTAAATAGATAATAATATACACTATTGTATAAAAATCTTTCTATATACATGTTGTGTAATAATAAAATTATTAATAATAGAACGAAGAAAGAAAATAAAGATGTGTGTTGTGGTATGCAGTTTTATTCATATTTGATTTCGATTGATTACGCCAGTAATTTACTATTCTTATCGCTTTCCAATTTAACCTCCAATTCGACTTACAACGAATGTTACTTTTCCAGTTTTGTACCTTTAATGATAAATTCAGAAAGGTGAGGTTTGATGAAGCTAATTCGGGATATGTAATTAATTATTTACTTGTACGATACGATTTACCGTTTCGCATTGTTGAGTGATAATATAATATGTTTATACCTGATGTCATTTATATCAGATACAGATCATTTATTCATAATTTACAAAATGACACGTCCAATTTCAATCAAGTGTCAAGTCACGGCATAAGTTAATATGAGTGCATGTTATACTTGAGTGCCATAGAAACATACAGGCCAAGTTGGAAAAGTTTGTGTTCTAATTGACCCAATCGAAAATTAAACCTAGAATATTTAAATTAAGCTTAGATTATGAAGTATATAAATATCATAATCAATTGACTCATCATTTATTTAATGCATTTTTTTTTATTTTTTGGGTTGTCAGTAGATCGAATAATTTTAATATGAGGTAATCTGTTACAGTACATGACTCTAAATACGATAATTAACAATTATGGAAAGTCGTCATAGGATCTAGTAACAGTAACTATGAAAAAGTAAAGTAATTATACACTCATTATTAATATATAAATGTTAAGATGAGTTTGTTTGTTTCATTACAAAATATACCTACATAGTATTTGAGATAGAGAAGGACTTAAGTTACATATTATTTTCATTAAATAAACATATTTTAGTCACATGAGTGAAGTTGGATAAAAACTCGTTTACGTTCAAACTAGTTTTTAATCCTTTTATTCCGAGATAAATTCATAATATATTTCATATTTTTAAATTACAGTTATTATCATTTCGGCCGTTAATTGTTAATTTGTAAATTATAATAATAAATGATAAATTATGGACTTGGTTTTCTTTATATCATGTCAAATAACATTATATCCTGCAGTACCAAAAAAGAGAACTTCTGTAGGTTCGTTTTAATAAAATATTTTTGCAGTGTTTCGAACCTTTTTTTTACTACTTAGTGTATCTCGCGCTTTGTACTTAACTCACGTAAATCAGTACGTAAAGTATCCTATGTGCTAAGTTAGGATATAACCTCCTAAGGTATAACCTACCCGTGTATATAATTTCCTTCAAATCAGTTTCATAACTTTTGTGTAAAAGAATAACAAACATTCACACCTCTGTCCATCCATACATCGTTATAAATATTCACTTTTAATAATATTAATGAGACTATCTATTAATGGGACTATCTAATACTGACCATGGGCGGCGGTAGTCACTTACCATCAGGTGAGCCGCATGCTCGTTTGTACCATGTATTGAAAAAAAAGAGAATCCGTCTATTTCAACTTGCAACACCGTGACCTAGCCTTCTAGACAAGCGCCGAGCGAATCCGTTGATGGAATTGACATCGCTAGTGAGTCCGTGAATTAGAATGAGTCATCCGACGTTGCTATCTAATTCTACCTCACGGACTAACTAGCGAAATTATCGTTCTAGGACGAATTATCTTGCCATTTATCTTGAAGCCTTAAAAGGTAATAGAAAGATTAAACATATTCGATTAAAAATGAGAATTGATAATATTGATTCGGTTTGATAATGTACTAATTCCATTTTATACGAATATTGTTCCCAATTTTAGTGATAGTTTATTTTATAATGTATTTTGTTAATAATTTAATTTTTTTAATTTCAGTGTTTTATCGACTAAATTATTCATCGATTTAAATCTTATATTTGAACTCACTATTCTTTCTCAGTCAGTGTCAGTGACGGATGCACGATGTCATGACCGTCAGTCAGTGACCACTTCAACTTGGAAGAGGTACTTACATCAGTACCTATGTAATTATAATTATTGGTTTACTAAAAATAAAATACATTTTGTTTTTATTAATCGTAATTATTCAAAATATAGAAATAATAAAATGAATAACAACGATTTTTTAACGGGATCAAGGAAGTGACTGTGTGTTTAATGAGTGTTTACGAATTGTTTTGGTGCCATTCACCTATATTGATTTATCATGCCAGTGACCTGTTTTTCGTGTTTGTAATGTGTAATACATAAATATTTAATGAAACCATTAGACGGCTGCATACAGATGTTTTGGGATGAACCTGATATGAAAACTGTGATACGGAATTGTTAATTACGATGGGAGAGCTAGCTTTTAAACCAATAAAATATCTGATAGAGCTTAGCTGAAAACTTGTAATAATATTTATAATTCGTTATGGTGTGCATTTTTCACAATGATGACGCCAATTGAGGAGAAGAAAGATGAAAAGGTACGTAGACATAGGTACAAAGTTAGTATCTAATTTGTTAAGTAATAAAATATCCTCTCTAAAACCCCGGAGTCCCGCCAATTTGCAAGTCTTCCAGTCGTACTTTGTCCTCGTATTAAAAAAAAAATGTAACATGTTTATGTTAAAAATCTCAGATTTTATTTACAGTGTCCATTAATGTTGTGCAAGTGTAATAAAAAATAATTAATAGGTACCTACCGGGTAATTAGAATATTGACGTCAATTGAGTATGGGCTACTTGGTACATTCATTCATATTTTTTTTGTTCATAATTTTCGTTATTACCAATAGTTATAATTAGATGAATTAACTTTATATAAAATCAACATTCTATATGGAGCACTAAAAATTTAGCTGAACAAATATTATACTATGTAATGAGGGTTGAGAGCTGTTGTCTGAGATACAGGTTTTATAACCTAGTTCAGACACAGGTGTTTAAACTGATCCAAATGTACAAATGCATTCGTGTCTACTTTTACTGTAATTTCCACTGCTGAGTTTGTTACAATCATGGTTATGCAAAAGAGTTATTAGTATTATTATTATATTTAAATATAAGTCTGTATGTGTCATAGTCTTTTTATTGTATTTATTGTTTTTATTGTATTGTCTGTGCCACACAGATATGAAAAAGACAATAAACAGAGTTCTCTGAATTTGGCCTAATACTAAATGCTTAAAAGTATTAGGCCAAATTCAGAGAACTCTGTTTATTGTCTTTTTCATATCTGTGTAACAGGGTATGAAGGCGTAACAGCTTACAAAACACATAGATAAAATCTTGTATGTATGTATTTTTTTCATTATATATTAAATATCATAGTATCATTATAGATATTTTTTTCTAATTTTCTTTATTTACCCTCTGCAACTTGCCTCCCCATAAACTTCTGGACATTTTTAAATCTCTCTATATTTGACTTTCCTTCCAATGCGACCAATGACTTAAATTATCTTCCCGTCATTTTTGTTTTTTTTTCTATGCTTTGTTTAAGGGAAAGATTATTGTATTGTATTGTATTGTAAAATCTTTATTGAATATAATTTACATTGGACATGTTAAAAGATTTAATATACAATGGTGGACTTATCACATAGAGGTATCTCTTACAGTTATACATTTGAGAAGCTGAAAGAAAACTATAGAATGTTCAAAGGTAAAACAATATAGCTAAAGATAAACTCAATAGTACTTAGTTAAAATTGAATATATAATACAATAAAAAGTAACTGTATACACTTACATATGTAAATAATAATAATACGTAAATAAGAAATAATAATAGTAATAAACCTACTCACATATGTATATAATGACAAGGGAAGTGAATACCAGCGACGTGCAGCATGTACAGTAAATTACTTGGCATAATTTTCAATATTAAAACAAGGCAAATTCATAACGAAGTCATTACAGCATCTCAGGTGGACATCAATCTCGTGAAACTTGAACCTTTCCCGAAGAGTAATAAAATAACTTTTTTTTAAATTTTTTTTTATACAACTTAGAATGGCAAACGAGCTGACGGCCCACCTGATGGAAAGTGGTAACCGTCGCCTATAGACATGAGCAGTACCATGGACATAACAGAGTATACTGTTTTGCCCGTGATACCACCTATGCATTGCCATTCCTAAGGACTCAGGTGTTATTCCTCTGTACCCAGTAAATTCACGCCATATCTTCACCTTCAAACCGAAACACAGCCATGCAAACAACTGCTATACGGTTGAAACACGAATGGAACAGAGGTACCCAAGCAATCGACTTTTGTACAAAGTCTTCCCCTGGTAACATTTGTGATTTACGTATGTATATGCTTGTCGCGTTCCAGATCCGCACAGGCATGGTGCAAGTGTCGGACGGCAAGTCGCGGCCGCGGCCGGCGCGGCTCGTGCTCACCATGGACGCGGTGACCGTGCAGCGCGAGGTGCCCGTGCCCGCGCACCCGCCGCGCGACAAGAACGTGCCGCACGCCAGGGTACGACCGTCTTAACCCTTTTCACTCCAAGCCTTTTTTTCTTTTTATTCCACTATAGCTCCACGCTAAAATTGCGTTTTTTTAATTTTTAGGGGTTTTTTCGTATTTTTATTATGTGATAAACTTTATTTTATGAGTTATTACAGGATACTATATTATAATTTTTAATTCTAATCTTTATAATCCCTTTTGGTATGGTATTTCTCAAAACAAATCCCGGGATGAAGCGAAGGTTTTGCCTCACATGTTTTGCAAAAATAGCATGTTTCTTTTCTCCCCCCTTTTATTTTTCGGTTGGAAGACACAGCACAATCCTGGTGTTAGATGGCTTTGTCAAAAAATTTAGTAAAAGAAATCCCACACTATGTCGAGTGTCACTCGACAGTGGAGCTGGTGGAACAAAATCAATGTCGAGTGACATGTGACATTGGAGTGGAAAGGGTTAAGCAGTAGACCAGCAGTGGCAGTAGCTCCATTATTAGCAATATATCCTGTCAGGTGGACCTTAACGTAGTTCCCCTGGAAACCATCGTGGCTAATTTTAGTTGAATTCGTCAAGATTGGCTAACTGCTTTCATCCTCATCAGTCATCTATCACTGGTGCCCTGCCAGTGTATACCGATAGCGCAGACGGGGTTACCATACCATTATCACCCATAAAAAAACACTCACATAGCGAAGACTCGAGCGAAGCTTCACAGAAAAATATATGGCTTTTTTTTAGTGGCCAGGTCTGCGTTGGAAAACAATCTTAAATATGCCAATGGCAACGGCCTCATTGCTAGCAATAGAGCGTATATTGTCAGGTTTAGGGTTTAGATAGGTTAAGGTTATTTCATATTTATCAGTAAAAAGAGAAAAAAAAAGATGCAAGTCAAGTGCAAGTCGGGTTCGCGCAACAAGGATTCCGTACAAAATCATCAAGTTTCAAATTTTTATTTTAAATAACTATAAATTTATGGTTTTCGGATTTTTTCCTTTACTTGTGCTACATGACATTGCTTCTTGCCAAATTTCATGATTCTAGATGAACGGGAAGTATCCTATAGGTTTTGTTTCTCTTTGCGAATGTCAAAATATGCGATATAAATGGAACAGCTGTATCTTTTGATTGCGTCGATTTAGATGCTTCATTTTTTCACTGCTTTAAAAGATTGCAGACTTGAGTATAAGATATTAATTTCAACTCGATACCTCCCCGGGTTCCTGAGAAAAAGGGCCTTGACAGACAGACGGGCTGACGGACAACGAAGTGATTCTGTAAAGGTTCCGTAATTTCAAAGGGAACTAATAAACAATTTTCTAATGCTCCAGGAGCGGATGGTGCAAGTCACTCGTCAGAAGGTGGGAGGCTTGGGTTTGAGCATAAAGGGTGGCGCGGAACACAAGCTGCCCATACTTATATCCAAGATATACAAGGACCAAGCGGCTGACCAGACCGGCCAGCTGTTTGTAGGAGATGCCGTTATCAAAGGTAAGGATTTTCTCATTTACTTTTCCCATCAGTGGTGTGGAGGTACATGGAGTTATGGCTACTTTAGTTTCCATATATATATATATATATATATATATATATATGTGTGTGTGTATGTATGTATTTTTTTAATAAATGATAATGGAATGGTAACCCCGCTCGCGCTATCGGTATACACCGACGAGGCACCAGTGAAAGATGATAGGTGAGAATGAATGCAGGTCAGTTGGCCCACCATGATGAATTCGACAAGAATTAACCATGATGGTTTCCATTGGGAACCGCGTGGACGTCGACCTGAGAGGGTCAATTGCTAGCAACGGGGCTATTAGACCTCATTACTAATAATCCCTTTCCCCCTGTATGTATGTATTAGGTAGTATGACACAAATGATTTTTTTAAATAGTAATTTTTTACTTGTAATTTCATACTTGATGATAATCATTAAATCAACACTTTTAGGGTCACATATTGCACAATATCTTGTTATCTCTTATTAAATCAGTAAACATGACGCAATGTGTAAGATAATGGTTTTTAGATTGTTATGTTTGTTCATTAGTTACAGTTGCTCTTATAACTAGTGTCTGTATTTATCGGCCCAGTTGTGTCTCGCGCTACAATATGGCACAACCTGATTCCACTGGGAGGGGGGGGGGGGGGGGAAGGGATTGTTAGTAATGGAGACCGAGAATCCCATTGCTAGCAATATACCCAACCAGGTCGACCTTCTCGCGGTTCCCCCTGGAAACTATCATGGTTAATTCCTGATGAATTCATCATGATGGGCTAACTAGCCTGTTTTCATCCTCATCGAAAACCCTTTACTGGTGCCCCGCTAGCGTATCCCGTTAGCGCAGGCGAGGTTACCATACCATTTTCATCCAATAAAAAAAAACCTGATTCCCCTTATTTTGAATGTGGGAACGGATTGTTAGTAATGGAGACTAACCGCGAGGAGGTCGAACTGGTTGGATATATTGCTAGCAATGGGATTTTCAGTCTCCATTACTAACAATCCCTTTCCCCCCTCCAAAGAGTAGTTGTGCGTGGAGGAAAGATTAATAGTAAGCTAGATATACTCTCACATCAGTACGCAATTCGGACACGATGGCAGTCGTAAATTTAATTGATTCAGTTAGAAACAATGAAGTCGCTCCCGGCCTATTCTGGCACGCCGCCTGATTGTCCTCAATTAGTTGGTGGACAATTTGCATCGTTAAATACGTGATATGTTATTGCAGTTGCAGGAAAGCTGTGTTTCTGTCTGTAAAAAAATATTTATTTATTTATTTAACTCTTTATTGCACCAAAAACATAAAAATAAACAATGACATATAAACAATTCAACTGAAATACAGTAGCGTGGAGTACAGATAATTTTTTTTTTTTATACAATTTAGAATGGCAAGCAAGCTGACGGCCTACCTGATGGAAAGTGATAACCGTCGCCTATAGACATGAGCAGTACCGTGGACATACATAGTACGTGTTTCAACCGTGAAGCAGTTGTGTTTACATGATTGTGTTTCGGTTTGAAGGGTGGGATATGGCGTGAATTTACAGGGTACAGAGGAATAACAACTGAGTCCTCAGGAATGGCAACGCATGGGGGGTATCATGGGCGAAACAGTATACTCTGTTATGTCCATGGTACTGCTCATGTCTATAGGCGACGGCTACCACTTTCCATCAGGTGGACCGTCAGCTTGTTTGACATTCTAAGTTGTATAAAAAAAGTTATGTATAAATATTAATTCTTGCACAGTAAACGGCGAGTATATAACGGCATGCAAGCACGACGACGCGGTGAACATACTGAGGAACGCGGGCGACATCGTCGTTCTCACAGTGAAGCACTACCGGGCCGCCACGCCCTTCCTACAAAAACAGGGTATGTTGCTTTTCATTTTTTGTTCATATAATCCTCGAATTCCCAAAGAGGGTTGACGTCAGGCAGGTGGCCGGTCGTAAAACTAATCTATCCTCTAAACTAACTAATCTATATATATATATATATATATATATATATATATATATATATATATATATATATATATATATATCACTTCCTTATTCTCGAAAGTCATGGAATCAGTTATTAACCATCAACTGCTCCGGTACCTAGAGGATCGCCAGCTGATCTCAGATCGCCAGTACGGCTTTCGACGGGGGCGCTCGGCTGGTGATCTTTTAGTCTATTTAACACACCGATGGGCGGTGGCAATCGAGAATAAGGGAGAGGCCTTAGCTGTTAGTCTGGATATTGCGAAAGCCTTTGATCGGGTGTGGCATAGGGCACTAATCTCAAAACTACCTTCGTTTGGGTTGCCTGCGAGATTGTGCAGTTGGGTCGCCAGTTTTCTTAAGGAACGTAGCATTAAGGTCGTAGTCGACGGAGCATGCTCTGACTTAAAACCTGTGAATGCTGGTGTCCCGCAAGGCTGTGTACTATCTCCGACACTGTTTCTTCTGCATATCAATGATATGTTACAGATCAGTGATATTTATTGTTATGCAGACGACAGTACAGGAGATGCATTATACACCGGTCATGCAAAGATCTCGCGGGCACATACCGATAAGCTCCGGAACAGACTTGTGTCTGAAATCGAAACTTCACTCGATAAAGTTTCGATCTGGGGTGAACGCAATCTTGTTCACTTTAACCCTAAAAAGACACAAGTCTGCGCGTTCACCGCAAAAAAGACACCGTTTGTCGTATCTCCTCACTTTCAGGGCACTTCCCTCGATAATAAGTCGAGTCTGGGAATTCTTGGCGTCGATATATCTAGCGACGTCCAGTTTTGCGGTCATCTGGAGGAAAAAGCTAAGATAGCTTCTAAAAAGTTGGGGGTGCTCTATAGGGTGAGACGGTATTTCACGCCAGAAAACCGCCTGAAACTATATAAAGCTCAAGTGAGGCCACACATGGAATACTGTTCTCACCTGTGGGCAGGAGCGCCACAGTATCAACTCCTTCCGTTAGACCGCATTCAAAGTCGGGCAGCTCGAATTGTTGACGATCGGCGTCTTACTGTCCGGCTCGACCCACTGAAACTGCGTAGAGATGTTGCATCTCTGTTCATCTTCTACCGAATTTATCATGGGGAGTGCTCTGAAGAATTGTTCGGATTGATACCTGCTGCAGATTTTCACCATCGTACAACCCGCCATAAACTAAAATTTCATCCCAACCATCTGGACGAGTGGCGGTCCTCCACCGTGCGTTTTTCAAGGCACTTTCTCCCACGCACAACCACTCTTTGGAATCAACTTCCAGCAGCAGTATTTCCGAACCGATACGACAACATAACCTTCAAGAAAAGAGCATATTCCTTTTTAAAAGGCCGGCAGCACACCTGCAATGCCGTAGGTGTTGTGGGTGATCATGGGCGGCGGTAGTCACTTACCATCAGGTGAGCCGCATGCTCGTTTACCCCCAGTGTTGTAAAAATATATATATAAATAATAATTGGAATAAGGGTCCTACCCTTAGGTGAGATGATGATGATATTTATGTAATCCTCGTGTGTTGACAGCGGACGGTGCGTCGGACACGGACAGCAGTACGGGCGACGATCACCCCTCACTGCACGGCAAGAATGTCGACGCTAATTGCAACTCGGAGAAGATCGCCGAGAACGGCGGCTGGCAGGTGAGTGCGCGACATTAAGAGGACGGAACTAGACATGGGTAATATTGGTATTGCGGGTGGGAGGAATCAGGTGGACCGTCAGCTTGTTTGCCATTCTAAATTGTATAAAAAAAAATACGTGGACTGTACATAGTAATGCCAACTAACAGTAATGGGTATTGTATTGAACTAGGTGTTATTTTGCGGAAGTCCATATCACTAGGTACTTAATTAGAATTGTTTAAATCCGCTACTGTTAGTATGCGTGCGAATATTGTGTACAATTTTTTTTTTTCACTAGAAGTTCTACCATCTTCCATATTAACCATCAATCTCCGACCGCCATTCCGTCCACGCACGTTTTGCCTCGTCTTGAAGTGGAAAACGTGCGTGGTCAATAACAATAGTCCATCTACGAGTGTTGTTAGTCCCATGCATACTAATGGTAACGGAATTAAATAATTCTAATCGATTAACCACAGTAATGGCGACTCCCATCAACAGCTCAACAGCTTCCATTGTTAGTATATCCGTATACCAGTTTACCCGATCAGGTCGGCTTCCAAACGGTTGCCCATGGAAACTGACGTTTTTTATGCAACTTTGAATGGCAAACAAGCTGACGGCTCACCTGATGGAAAGTGGTAACCGTTGCCTAGAGACGTCGCCTATGTATATATATAGTATATATTTCTGGTGAAATCGTCACTATATGAAGTAGTTGTTCACATACCTGTGTTTTGGTTTGACGGGTGAGATATGGCAGTGAAATCACAGGGTACAGAGGCAAACACCTTAGTTCTCAGGAATGGCAACGTATGGATGGTATCACGAAGATCTAATTTAAAATCTGGTACATGTTTTCCCTTGATACGTCTTCTAGAAAGGTCCATCACTTATCATTCGTCACTGGTGCCCCGTCAGCGTATACCGATAGTGCAGAAGGGGATTCCATTCCATTTTCGTCAGATTAAAAAGATCTTTGCGTGTAGAGTGCGTGGGGCTCTGCGGAGGAGTGCAGCCGGCCCGGGTCGGCCGCCTCGAGGCCGCCGTCCGTCGCCTCCGTGTCCGAGCGGCACAACGCCAACACCACCACCACCACCACCACCGGCGCCACGACTGAGTGGGTCGACATCGTCTCCGGTTCGTGGCACTTATATTTACAGTTCGGGCAGTCCACAAGTGTATCTGTTGAGTGAACGCGCCCAAATTTGACATATGCATATCATCATTTCATTGTTTTTCATTTCCATTGTGTTACAAATACCCATTTAAAGACACTCACACATACACACACACACACACACACACATGCGCACGCTCGCACGCCCGCAGGCACGCACGCAAGCACGCTCGCACGCACGCATGCACGCACGCACACAATCTATTTTTTTTTTATACCACTGTGGTGGCAAACAAGCATACGGTCCACCTGATGGTAAGTGGTTACCGTAGCCTATGAACACCTGCAACACCAGAGGTACACGCGTGCGTTGCCGACCCTGAAGAAACCTCTTTACTCCTCTTTTGAAGAACCCCATGCTGTAATCTCTTGGGAAAACATCGGCAGGGAGCTCATTCCACAACCTATCTAGTAATCATAAAGGCCAATGATGCCCTTGCAAGAGCCAAGTGTTATCAAGGGGCCTTCTACTATACTGATTTAGTTGGTGGCTTAGCCTAGAGGTTTCACCAAGTTTTCCTTTACAAGTTCTTTTTTACTAGTATATTATTTACTGCCCTATATTTATATATTCTTTCCCGTGGATGGGCAACAGCGTCCCTCTTAAAATATCACCAAAGCCTAACTGCGGTTGCCAATCCGCTAGCGGCAATTACTGGCAAATCTCCCCCCCTCCCTCCTAATGCTCCTCAAATATCGCGTCTAATCTACGCCCACCATGTACCCTTTTGTATAGGCATTCCGTCACCCGTATCGATGACGGGATGCCTTAAATACTGTACCGCAAACCATAACCCCCCCCCCCCCTACTCCAAAAAAAACAAAAAGCTAGTGTAAAATAGAATACTATATTTATTTCATTTTTATATGTGAAATATTAGATACATGTTTTTTTTTTCGGAATTTAAAATTTAATAGATTTATTAATGTATCCTTGTAACAGTGCCTCTCATGATGGGCTACGTGACAAGATACGTGCTGGGAACAGACAAACTTAGACCCGGCGCCTTTGAGGTGAGTATACGAATTTTACTAATGTACATATTCATATTTCTACTCCCAGCGCAAAATACATTACAAAATATTCCAATAATTGCTTTGTATAGTAAAAATAAAAATGAAACTTCAACAGTACACACTAGTGCCATATTCGATTGACCTTCTTCATCAATTCAAATCAACTACGTACAATAAATGTTATGGGTCATGCTGCGCGGAAATTCGAACATTTTATCGACGTAACGATGCGGAACGCTCGTGTTCAGAGTTCGTTCCGCGGTCGATCTCCACTCGGCGGAAGATCGGCAACATCGCATTTCATGTTTTCTTATTGGATGTATCACGTTCGATAAATACTATACATTCCGATTTTTGATGTTAGCTTAAAGATAGAAGTGCACCAATCTACCAGGAGATTAATGCAATATATTAATCGAGATTATTCATATGGAAGTATCGTCAGAATTATCGATTAATCTTTTAGAATCAATAAACTAATGATCATATTTTCAATTGATTCATTATGTAAAAAGTGTTTTGACAGTAAACTAAATTCTAATTACGCAGAAAGATTCTTATTGTTGTAGATAGTAATTTTAATTGATTTTAATGAAAAAAGAAATATATATATTTGAAGATAATCTTTTGAATAATTTTGTAAAAAAAGAATCTAAAATCGTTCAGTTGTTTCTAAAAGTGTATAGATAATTCCGACGTTACCGGTGTTGGTTACGAGCGTTCGTATCGTGTGTGACAAGTGTAACATGTGCGTGGTGGTGCAGGTGCGCGGCGCGCGCGGCGGCAGCTCGGGCGTGCTGCACGCGGACGACCCCGCCGCGCTCTCGCACTGGCTCAAGGCCATCTCCGACAACGTCGTCGGCCTCACCAACCTGCAGGTACAGCTCTCCACCCCGTCCGTCTTCAGCATCCGGTTCGAAGGACCATCCTCATGTTTACACATTATTAATGTTGTTACGCGTCGGATGTGGTAGGAAGTGTGATTTTAAAAGGGGGGGATTGTTAGTAATACGGACTACCGGTCCCATTGCTATCAATATACCCTGTCAGGTCGACCGTCACGTGGTCCCCCCTGGAAACCATCGTGCTGAATCCCAGGTGTATTCATAACAATAAACTAACTAGCCTTCCTTTACATTGTCACCTATCATCCCTCACTGGTGCCCCACCAGCGTATACCATTAGCGTAGGTGGGGTTACCATTCCATTATCATCCATTAAAAAAAAAGTCTGATTTTAAATAGACTGAATAACACTGTATAGTAATTGTGGATTCGACAATGAATCTCTAGACTTAGGACTAAGTAAGGAGCTCGGGAGTTTATTAGAGTAAATTTTTTTATGCAACTTAGAATGGTCAACAAACTGACAGCCCACCTAATAGAAAGTGGCAACCATCGCCTATAGACATGAGCAGTACCATGGACATAACAGAGTATACTGTTTCACCCATGATACCTCCCATGCGTTGCCATTCCTGAGGACTCATGTGTTATTTCTCCGTACCCTGTAAATTCACTGCCATATCCCACCCTTCAAATCGAAACACAGTCATGCAAACAACTGCTTCACGGTTGAAACACGAATGAGACAGAGCTGTCCAAGCAAATGACTTTTGTACAAAGTCTCTCTCTCTAGTAATATATTATAGTTATAACTGTATATATACAGTACAGGGGAATGATATATAAAATGTCATTCCCCTGTACGGTTTCCTGATTGGACATCTGCAACTGTTGGCACAGATGAAGCTGTTCAACCGCCACCTGGCGGCGGGCGAGCGCATCGAGTACATGGGGTGGGTGGTGGAGGGCGAGGTGTCGGCGGCGCAGCCCTGGCAGACCTACCGGCCCAAGTTCCTCGTGCTCAAGGGCACTGACGTCATGCTCTTCGACGTACCGCCGGTCAGTGTCATTGTACCTAATTGAAACCTCGATCGAGAAATGAAGTTTCCATTCTATTTTTGAAAATAAAGATTTTGATTACTAAATTAACATAATATAAATATATTAATTTAGTAGTTAATATAATATAAATCCCTGTAGACCTCTTTAGAGCACCCAATAAGCATATTTTTAAAAGTCTTAGTTACTTGTTGAGTCAATAAATCCAGCTCTAGTTACAGGTTACTCAATAGTTACTATATCTCATAATGTTTCTTATAGTTGTTATATATATATATATATATATATATATATATATATTATGTATAATTATGTCAGTATGTTGCTATGATTATGTCTCATATTTTTCACCACATCTGCCCTTCATACGCTTTCTGTTTTTACCCAATGGTTAGCTGGTAGAGAATGCCATATGGCATTAAGCTCGCCACTTGTACAAAGTTTTATTGTGCAATAAAGAATAGATAAATATTAAAACATATTTTTTTTTCTCTAATTAATCTATTAATACTTATAATAAATCTGTAGAGAGGTCAATTCTGTACATGAAATATATTTCCAAAATAACTATCAGCGGGTGATTAGTGATCGATACTGATGACAAAAATGCAATCAGTAAAATTTTTATCTGTTTGTATGTTCGTTATAGAAACAAAAATTACTCGACGGATTTTAACGAAACTTGGTACAATAATTCTTCATACTCCTGAGCAGGTTATAGTATACTTTTCATCACGCTACGATCAATAGGAGCAGAGCAGTGAAGGGAAATGTGTTTGTTACATCAAAACCACTGAACCGTGAGGAAAGCCTATGTCCTTTCTCACGGTTCTATTACTTCTTTTACGAAAAATGATAGAAACGCGGACGAAGTCGCTAGCAATAGCTAGTTGTTAATAATGAATTACCCTCTTTTCAGACCAACACTATTAAGTTTATTTTATTTATTTATTTATTTTATGCAAAAATCCACAGCTCTTAAAAACAACTTACATGCTAAGTCTCCTATGAATACAGCCAATAATGGATTTTAAAATTTATTATTTCATAGGGGAAAAGTGTTTCTAAAGTATAAAACATATCGTACGTAGTATGAGGTATCGGCGTGGTTGATGTGATGGCATGATGGTATGGATGGTGCGTTCCAGATGAACATAGCGGAGCTGGCCAAGTGCCCGGAGACGCTGAAGGTGTACCAGACGATGTTCCGCACGGTGAAGGAGAGCGAGACGGTGGACTGGCGGCAGCACTGCTTCCTGGTGCAGGCGAGCGCGGGCGCCGGGCCGGGCGCGGCGGGCCCGCGCTACTTCTCGGCCGAGACGCGCCGCGACCTGCTGCGCGTCGAGCAGGCCTGGACCGCCAACATCGTCAACTCCGTCGTGCGGCTCGGGGTCGGCACTGTTCATCACACGCTCTGTTTGTACCGCCTAAAGTGGCAGACGAGCTGACGGGAATACTGCTTCGTTAATGATACTAGCCCCCATGCGTTGACATGAGGACTCTGGTGTTATTCCTCCGTACCCAGTAAATTCACGCTACCTAAAATATCCAGTAAAATGGGGTAACCCCGCGTGCGCTAACGGGATACGCTGGCGGAGCACCAGTGAAAGGTGATCCTTTATGATCGATTCATCAGGAATTAACCATATTAATGAACCATGATAGTTTCCAGGGGCAACCACGAGGAGATTGACCTGGTTGAGTATATTGCTAGCAATGGGATTCTGTCTCCATTACTAACAGTCCCCCCCTCCTCCAAGGTGTATCATTACTTAGGTTCCGAGGTATGTCAGTACCTTTTATTTTTAATTGCTCCCCCTAATAGGAGGTTCGCGCTGACCGGATATTAAATTCCAGTTTGGAATTCTAGTGTAATTATTAATGCAAAATTTTTTGTGTTTTTCTTTCCATCCATTTTCTTGTGTCAGTACTTACGCCTCCCTGTCCGACTCGACCCACCGAAACTGACTACAAATGTTGCATCTCTCTGCATCCTCTACCGAATTTATCATGGGGGGTGCTCTGAGGAATTGTTCGGATTGATACCAGGATTTTCACCGTCGTACAACCCGCCATAAACTAAAATTTCATCCCAAACATTTGGACGAATGGCGGTCCTCTGCCGTGCATTTTTCAAGGCACTTTTTTCCACGTACAACCACCCTTTGGAATCACCTTCCAGCAGCAGTGTTTCCGAACCGATACGACAATGGAACCTTCAAAAAAAGAGCATATTATCCCTTTAAAAGGCTGTCAGCACACCTGCAATGCCGTTGGTGTTATGGGTGATCATGGGCCGCGGTAGTCACTTACCATCAGGTGACCCGCATGCTTGTTTGCCCCCTGTTTTGTAAAACAAAAAGTACACTATCCGCTTATACACCTGATCGCGGCTCGATTAGAAAGAGATTTAACACCCTCATTGCTAGCAATACACCCTACCAGGTCGACCTTCATGCAGTTCTCCCTGGAAATCATAGGGATTTATTGTTGTTGAATTGGTCTTTATAGGCCAATTGGCCTGCCATCATCTTCACCTGTCACCCTTCACTGGTGCCCCGTCAACATATACTGATAGCGCAGACGAGGCTACTATTTCACCTTAACCTATTAAAAAAAAAAGTAGCAGACACTCGTCTGGTGGCTACTGTAAGCGTACCTCCTACACGGACAGCCGCTCCGTATGTACTAACTCCACACATGTACTCTGTTAAAATGTATTTGCTACTGTAATTTAAAAACTAGAATTATGGTACAACCACAATTTTACGAATTTTTTTACCATTAAACTCTTGAATCCACCTCTGTGATCCCTCATTCAGAGATGGACTTTTTTTTTTTACAAACATTTGCCTTGTGTTCCCGTTAATTTATGTGGTGTATTGAATAATCAAGCCGTTTGTTTGCGTGTGCACGTGCAGAAGAAGACGTTCACGGTGGTGCACCTGGGCCGCGCGGCGGGGCTGACGCTGGACTGGGCGGCCGGCTTCTCGCTCAGCGAGGGCACGCCCGGCGCGCCGCCCGTCTGGGCGTACAGGTGCCGACCACGACCACGACCACGCACACGCACACGCACACGCACACGCACACGCACACGCACACGCACACCCACGCCCACTCACTCCCACGTAGTCGCACACCCACGCACACACACTGATGGCTGACGGCCCACCTAATGAAAAGTGGTAACCGTCGCCTATACACATGAGCAGTACCATGCACATAACATAGTATAATGTTTCGCCCATGATACCCCCCATGCGTTGCCATTCCTGAGGACTCAGGTGTTATTCCTCTGTACCCTGTAAATTCACGCCATATCCCACCCTTCAAACCGAAACATAGCTATGCAAACACAACTGCTTCACGGTTGAAACACGAATGGGACAGAGGTACCCAAGCAAACGACTTTTGTACAAAGTCTCCCTCTAGTCTGGCATGTATTATACATATAAACTTTTCTCTTGAATCACTGTATCTATTAAAAAAAAACCGCTTCAAAATCCGTTGCGTAGTTTTAAAGATTTAAACATACATAGGGACGGACAGACAGCGACAGCGACTTTGTTTTATACTATGTAGTGATAATCAGAATTTTAAATATTGCCATTAAAACTGGACAAATAATTACGAATGTTGCCACACTTGATAAATTACTTCTTAATTAACACGTGTTATAGTAGATACCTATTAAGTATTACGACACACCCTCAACGTCGATCGGATCGTACCACCTAGCACGATGCAAGAAGGTGCGTTACCGAGAAAGACACCTGCGTCGAGTCAGCATTTCAATTCCCGCAGCAAAAATACCCATTTCCTTTATGTTTAATTCGATATGACTTCACTTACGGATCACACATCGATCTGAACACACTTATTATTGTAATAATTAATTTTAGAATTAAATTTAGTTAATTTTACAAAATTGTTTTTTTTTTTTTTGGGTCTTCCACCAGCGACTTCAATAACTCACGTATAAACAAGCACCAACACTGATGCTATTGTTTTTAAATTAGTTAAAAAAATACTTTTTTGACAATATAATCTTGTTTCAGATTTTCACAATTAAGAGGCTCAAGCGATGACGGGAAGTCGAAATTGAAGTTGCACTTTCAGGACTCCGAAACCAAAGTTATTGAGACTAAGGTAATGTCTCATAATGCTTTATACATGACCCTTTTTATGTATCAGAGAGGAAAGCTGCAGAATATTCTGTATATTTCGTAGGACCTTCATTTCTAAATGTTTTTTTATGCAACTTAGAATGGCAAACAAGCTGACGGTCTACCTGGTTGAAAGTGGTAACAGTCGCCTATAGACATGAGCAGTACCATGGACATAACAGAGTATACTGTTTCGCCCATGATACCCCCCATGCGTCGCCATTTCTGAGGACTCAGGTATTATTCCTCTGTATCCTGTAAATTCACTGCCAAACCCAGCCTTCAAACCGAAACACAGCCATACAAACACAACTGTTTTACGATTGAAACACGAATGGGACAGAGGTACCCAAGCACTTTTGTACAAAGTCTCCCAATAGAAAACAATAGAACCAGAAACAATGATTTTTAGAATTTTTGTCTGTTTGTCAATACAATTCTGCACGCTAATCTCCGAAACGGCTTAACCGATTTGAATGCGGTTTCCACTAATGTGTTGCGGCTTGCTCCACTTAACACTTAGTGATTATTTTATTTCAATCGGTCCATAAATAAAAAAGTTACATCAATCTAAAGAATTACATATAAAATGCTATAATATATATATACATATATATATATATATATATATATATATATATATATATATATATATATATATATATATATATATATATATATATATATATATATCGATTTCTATGATCAACTGTATCAAAACAAAAGCGAGTGTATCCAATATGATAGTCACGTGACCACCGACACAAACATCAGTAATTTCTGTCTCGGTTTTCTACCGTCTCACTCTCACCTCATCAAACACGACACTCTCCCACAAGCACATAACCGCAGCTGGTTTCTTTTCCAGGAGTTAGAGTGCCAGATCCTGCAGAGTCTGCTGTTCTGCATGCACGCATTCCTCACGGCGAAGGTGGCGTCCGTCGACCCCGCCTTCCTCGCATCCATACAGCAGTCCAACTAAGTAGCAATACATATTTGTATAGCAGAGAATAAATGTAAACGGACAAATGCTTGAACGATTCGATATTAGATAGACAATTGCTTTCACATTTGACGTGTGGTGTGTTTGCTGGAAGTTAGCTCGTGAAATGAAAAAGTGGGCCAACTTTACGACGCGACAATACCCTTTCTAATTTTAATAACGACGCTTCTCGAACAATCAACGAATATTTGACATTTGTACGTCAGATGTGTATAAAAAAAAAAATGTTTGTAGCATTTATAAGTAAGCGGATGGGAGTTTTGTCTAAAGAAAAGTTTGTATTGTAGAAAAATAAAAAAAAAACAGGAATATCGCCTTTTAATTAAATCGAAACGTTAGTTCGTTTTAAATTTTCGCGTTGTTTCCACATGTTTTAAATACACAATCGGGACTTAACACGGTGTAAAAGCCTTTACAATAGTACCTACATATCTGCTTCTTAATTTCCGACGTTTCGACGTGGATTTAAAGCAGTGTGGATACCATGAGTGGGATTTATATAATGATGGGGCTTTAGTTAATGATGGTGACAATATGAGGCTATTCGAGGAGACTGTGGGCTGCCAGACCAGAGGGAGACTTTGTACAAAAGTCGTTTGCTTAGACACCTCTGTTCCTTTCATGTTTCTACTGTGAAGCAGTTGTGTTTGCATGGCTGTGTTTCGGTTTGAAGGGTGGGATATGGCAGTGAATTTACATGGTACAGAGGAATAACACCTGAATCCTCAGCAATGGCAACGCATGGGGGGTATCATGGGCGAAACAGTATACTCTGTTATGTCCATGCTATTGCTCATGTCTATAGGCGACGGTTACCACTTTCCATCAGGTGGGCCGTCAGCTTGTTTGCCATACTAAGTTGCATAAAAAAAGACGAACACGCCGCTCACTTCAGTCCTGTTATTACCGAAACGTCAATAAAGAAGCAGGTATGTAGGTACCATTTACGTGTAAAAGCTTTTAAATCGCGTTAAATTCCGATTTTTTATTTAAAATCGAAACATTGTTTTACTGTTAATATGTTGTGAAAGTGAAATTATCAGATATTTGAAGAAAATACAATTAATGTGTGTTTATTAATTGCTTAAGTTTAAGGGGAATCGAAATGGTAGAAATAATTTTTAAGTGAGTACATAATGCGTTTATTCTCTGCTAATGACATTAATAAATTGTTATTTTTTATTTGTATCGCTCGTTGACCTTGAATGCCTTCAATTAACTGTAACATTACCTTTATTAATTTAATGTTACATTTATAATAATCACGCGTTACCCATACTTCAAACTGCTAGAGTATAAAGGCCTAATGTTTTAATACCGAAACAGCGAATATAAGACTTTAACTCCACTTATAAAGATCTATTTTTGAATCTCGCCTCTATTTCTGTAAGGGTCAGTTTGCTGCACCCATTCTAAATGTTCTCTGCTATAATCTAACATATTATTTGCTTCAATTACATTCGTAACATTTTTTACTAGTTTCGTGTTTGTAAATCTTGTGTAATATCTCTCTATATTACAATGTATAGCCCTCTATCTAGTCTCTGGATCGTATCTTCATAGACAATGTCTTTATTGCACCAAAGACAATAATATACTATGACAATTGAACAAATATGGTATACTACCTAAATTGGTACCTATTTATTCAATTATAAATTTTGCCTACAAACATATTTTTTCTCAAACATGCTGGGAAATGTGAGCATTATTTTGACAATCTTCTTCGAGATAAATCAAAATTGCCGTACTGGCCAGATACATGCGGGCAGCGGCCGACAAAAGTTGTATGAAAATTCATATCTGTCGTTTTGCGGCCAGATAAATTACTGTGTAAACTCATATCTGTCCTGTAATTTAAAAATGGAATGACCTTTTACTTCAAAACATGGCTACCAAGGAGGTAACTAATAAAAGGTTTTTTTTTAAATTTCGAACTGGCATGCAAATAGAAAGTTGTTTATTGAAAAAAAAAAAACAAACTTAAAAAGTAAAATTGTGTTTTTGATTTCCGCGCATTGTTTGAGAAAAGTATTATACAAGCCTTGGCCACAACTAGGCATTGATGGACGAACGTGCAAATGTGGGCCGAGGCGTAGCCGAGGCACACATACGTGAGTCCATGCCTCAGTTGCTGGCCGCTGCAGTAATGTACTATTGTCTGTAGAGTTTATTCATAAACAAAATCATCATCATCAATAATAACAACAAATTTATTCTTTTTTATAATCTTGCTATGTATGGGATACGTTAATTTTTAAATTGACTTTAACCTTGTCAGGTTTTTTTTACAAACTTAGTATACTAGTTTGAAACCGAGATGACGTATGGCAAGTTTTATAGTAATTTTGGAAATTGTCTATGCAGATACGAACGGATTTAATGTCTATATCCAAACGAACAAAAACCGACAAATAACTAATTGTAATTAGTTTTTTTTTAATAGATTTAGCTATTGTCTAAGTGTAAAGTAACAAATGCGTTTAACTAAACTGATTACCCTCTTGTACGCAAAAACATGAAGTTTCCATTAAAAATGTGTTACTATTTCTAACCAGAGAGACTTTATACAAAAGTCATTTGCTTAGGTACCTCTGTTCCATTCGTGTTTCTACCGTGAAGCAGTTGTGTTTGCATGGCTGTGTTTCGGTTTGAAGGGTGGGATATGGCGTGAATTTAGTGGGTACAGAGCAATAACACCGGAGTCCTCAGGAATGGCAACGCGTGGGGGGTGTCATGGACGAAACAGTATACTCTGTTATGTCCGTGGTACTGCTCATGTCTGCGGTGGGCCGTCAGCTTGTTTGTTGTCGGCAAACAAGCTGATGGCCCACCACTTCACGGTTGAAACACGAATGGGACAGAGGTTCTCAAGCAAATGACATTTGTAGGGAGACTTTGTCTGGTAAATAAATTAATAATATAAGGGGGTCATGACCTTAGTTGTATTATTAGGATCCATACCGATGCAAATTAGGCAGTTTTTATTATCAAATCTAATTATTACCTACCAATACGCATGTAACTATTGTTGATGGGCAACCAATTGGGAATTATTATGATAAAATGCAACGGACTAATCGAACCTTGTTAAAATTTAAAATAACGATTAAATTTAAGTGCATTTTTATGAGAATTTAAATCGTCAAATAAGTCTGTTTCAACTAAATGCGTATTGATGTGTTCTTGGGGTGAAATAAAGGAGATAGTTTTAGGAAGGAGTTAGGGAACAGTCTGAGATAAACGACGATGGATCCAACTCGGCTATTGTAAATTCAAACATAAGTTTTACATTATAAGTCGAACAAAATTATTTGGTTTTAATTAATCGACAAGAATATTCCTGTGAAGTAATATAAAATAAAAAAAATGACTATCGCATCGTTCAAATACAAAAATAGAATATGCTTTAAAAAAAAAAATAGTTTAATAAAAGTAATTCCCAGCGTACCTATAAAATAACCTTAGATTATATAGATAGTGTCTCCCTCTATACAAATGGTTCGAGAAAACAGCTCAACTTTTGCTTACAGTTTTGCATGATAAATAGTTATGTTTCCTTTATAACTTCTATATTTATTTTGTTTTGTTTTAATACATAAAAACTCATTTTATTTATTAAATAATTAAGTATAGATACGTCAATATACATTATAGATAGATAGATAGATAGATAATTTATTTACATTACTTACAGCACACAAATTACAATACAAACATACATATAAAGACACAGTAAAAGAGATAAAAGAATGAAAAACAAAAAAAAAAGCAACTAAAATAACAATAGAAAAAGCAAAATATATAAAACAACAATTTACTTTTTTTTTTTTTCATGCGCGTGCCACAGTAACACAAAATGGTCACAACTCAGTTTATTGCTTTGCCCTCAAAGAGCAAAACACGTGTGCGTAAGTAATGATAAAAATCGAGCTAATTTGACAATTAGCTGACAAAAGGTTGACCCGTTTTTTGAGACTCGATGCTTTATCTATAAAATCTAAGGATAAAACATGAGAACTCACGACACACACTACCAAAGATTTTACATACTCATTTTGAACGTTTCAAAATTGTGACTCCATAGAGGCTGTTTGGACTGATGTTTAGATTAAAAAAAAAAAAAAACTAAATATAATCAATGTTTCTTTGATAATATATCTAATTTATAATAAATATGGCTGTAAAAAACGAGCCCAACTTCCGTAGCAAAGAGAATGAAACGGCTAGTCTTGTATCTCGTTCTGATTTGAATTTAGCACGCTCGCTTGTGATTACAATATCAACTTTATTATTATGCCCTTAGAGATGGTAATGGCAAAGTCACGATTTAATAACAATAAACCATTCATTAAATACACAGGTATGGGGAAGAAAGGGATGATTAGTAATGGGGTCTAATAGCCCCATTACTGGCAATATACCCTCTCAGGTCGATCTCCACGCGGTTCGCCCTGGAAACCATCATGTTTAATTCTTGTCGAATTCATCATGGTGGGCCAACTGACCTGCATTCATTCTCACCTATCACCTTCCACTGGTGCCTCGTCGGTATTTACATTTTCACCCATTAAAAAAAATACAGAGGTATGTTTTGATTTTTGTTTTTTTTTTTTCAATAAATATCAAAGAAATGTTGGCAATATTTAATTTTGTACAATGTATGTATATTGTATGTCTAATGTATGTATGTTTAACGTAGTAATGTAGCTTATTTTATATATTATTATAACTATATTTAGGTTATTAGACAACTTTGCGCTTGGCTCATATCATTAAATTTAAGTCCAGATATAACGCTGTATGTCTCGTTGCGTTGACGCACGCGATCGTATTATGTTAAATATATATTTCGTTGAATAATATTTCATATTTTATCCATCGATATCAAGCCCGATACAAAATGGCTCTAAAACATAGATGCTATTGTGAATGGACATACGATTGTAATATTTGTATTTGATGGGCTGTTCTAAACAGACAGGAAAGTACGACGGTTAGGGATTTTTTTTTTTTTATATATATAGAATAGAGGGATTTTGTAATTGATTGTACCATAGTATCGCACGATTTTGTCGTAACGAATTTATAATATATATATATATATATATATATATATATATATATATATATATATATATATATATATATATATATATATATATATATATATATATATATATATTATATGTGTATATATGCAATGTAATGTGTATATGCAATTTAATGCAGAATTTTTTAAATTTACTTCCGCGACAATTGTGTTTTACAGCTTGTATATCGACTTGGATCGCTCGCCATCGTCAAAAAAGGGAATTCATCTTCACAAGAAAGTACGGTTTCAAAGGATTTTTAAATGAATGAATGAATGAATAAAGAGAAATAAGCTCTCCTTCGAGGTTTACTCTACAGATTAAAATATGGAGTCCTTTAAAAAGAATGTATTAAGGTTTCTTCAGGGTCTCGGACCTTGCAGTCGTCCACAGGCCACAGTGACCGTCTACCATCAGAGGGGCTGTATGTTTGTTAGCCACCTTCGTGGTATAAAAAAATTACAATTTTCATGACATGAACATTTACTATATAATTGCATATATTTAACTTATATATTGTAACGACAATATCGTGCCGTGCCATGCTACGATAAATTATAAAATCGTTTATAATGTTTGTACGTATATCCATTACTATTAATATTACTCTATATTCTTCTCTTGAAACGCATTGGCAAAAAAAAAAAAATATACAGCGAATTAACTAACGACGTTGTCGCGCTCTCCGTTCTGTGTAGATCAGTCCTATTTAGGTGTTTATGTGGAAAATCTTTAAAAAAAGGTTTATCTGAATTGACGAACTTGCTTTATATATAATTATATGGTCTTGTTATTTATTGTGCGATTTGAAGCGATGTTAATAGGAGATTATAGTACTTTACAAGTAGGCGTAATCAGATTTTAGCTCAAGAAAGGGCTACAAACAAAGACGTGAAACGGAAACTAGCAGCTAGCAGCTAGCTGACTCATGCGCTCAACACATCGAATAAACATGGATTAGTTTTGTGTTGTAAAATTATATTATTATATTTAGAATTTTATACAATATAATGTTTGTTCAACAACAACTTATATTTGAGAGCTGAAAGTTAGTTTATTAATTCATGAAAATGTTGAAATGTAGTGATTTTCAGGTTAATAATGATCTTTATTATTATATTATGATAGTGTAAAGGTGAAGTAAAAATTGCTTTCATGTAAGGACCAGTCTACATCGACAGATGTGTGCGATCAAAAAATAAAAATGTAAAAAAATTCTGAAAGCATTGTAACTTCTTACTCGATTGCTGATATTTTGCTATAAAAATGGGGAAGTTTTTATGTCATCTATAATTTTATGTATGTAACACAATAATTACAAACCGATTTTGACTATTCTTTCTGTTGGTAGATTTGTCATTATTGATCTGACATTTTTATGTTACTGATAACGTCAAGTAGGCTGCGGGTATCGTGGTAAACATTGGTAACCGCCGCCGACGTTATCAGTACCATGGACGTCACAGAATATACTGTGCTCCCGGTAGCATCCCCTCGTAAGTTGATTTATATAATGTACTTGTTACTGAACTAAAAATTCGATGGCTCTAAAACATAATCGAATGATAGTGTTTTATTGTAAATAGGAGTATCGCCTTTGACGTCAATTTGAAATTTAAATTTAACTGTTATAGAAAATCTGAGTTCAACACTAAACCTACCAAGCGCGGTCAAATGGCCGTTTATGAAATTTAGTTTAAAAATTTTCACGTATAACGTTACTGTATCGCCATGTAACTCATTGACTTCTCCATAATATACATACAAGCCATTTTTCAATACTCACAACTTACAAATATTTACTTGTTCACTATCCAATTGGCTAAAATCTCTTTTATAGGTTGGGAATACTGTTTAGTACAAGAA